CAGTCTGCAGGCAATTTTCCTCCTCCTCTCCTCCTCTCCCTCTCCTTCTCGTTTTCTTTCCCCTCTTCTTCTCCTCTCCTCCTCTCCTCCTCTCCTCCTCTCCTCCTCTCCACTCCTCTCATCCTCCAACAGGCTGAGCTGGATCGCTTTTACTCACTTCCTAGCCCGTGCGGCATCGGCCTCATACTCGAGGAGGTGCTGGAAGGAGCCCCGTCCTCCTGCTCAGGCGGTTTCATCTGCTCCTTCATTGTCAAAGACTTCATCCCTGGTGCCCCTCCCGCTTCCCTCCTCATTCCTTGCCTCCTGCTCCTCCTGCTCCTCCTGCTCCTCCTGCTCCTCCTCCTCCTCCTCCTCTCCCTGCCTCCTCCTCCCTCTGTTTCCTCCTCCTCCTCCTTGTCCTCCCGCTCTGCATTGCGTCTTCTCCTCCTCCTCCTCCTTCGCTCATCTCCTTCAGGTCTCTCTGCTGATCTCTCCGGAGCCATTCAACGAGGCGATCGCGTCCTTGAGATCGACGGATTCAGGTACTGTCTCCTTCCCTCTGCTCCTGCTCCTGCTCCTGCTCCTGCTCCTGCTCCTGCTCCTGCTCCTGCTCCTGCTCCTGCTCCTGCTCCTGCTCCTGCTCCTGCTCCTGCTCCTGCTCCTGCTCCTGCTCCTCCTTGTCTTTGATTTTCCTGACGTCTTGCAGCACTGTCGGCATGACTCTGGAGGACGTGGAGGCGAAACTATTTGGAGGAAGAGGAACAAAAGTCCAGCTGCGGATCTCCCGAGGGACGTCGGTCAAGGTCCCGCTTCCTCCATTCAACCACCTCCCTCCTCTCCATTCTTGCCTTCATCCACTCCCCTCCCCTCTCCCTCTCCTCTCCCTCTTCTCCTCTCCCTCTCCTCTGCCTCTTCTCCTCCCTTCTCCCCCCCCCTCCCTCCTCTCCTCCCTTCTTTCTCCTCTACCCTCCCCGTCTTTTCCTCCTATCGTATCTCCTCTTGTCCTCTTCCTCCTTCCTCCCGTTCTCTCCTCGCCGACATCCCAGCAGGAGTCCCGGGAGTTTCTCGTCAGGCTCAAACGAGGAGCCTGGGGGCCCCAGCACTGCCTCCTAGAGCCTGAAAACCTCAACACCAAGACACAGAACGGTCCTCCTCCTCCTCCTCCTCCTCCTCCTCCTCCTCCTCCTCCTCCTCCTCCTCCTCCTCCTGACTTGCTGCTGCTGCTCCTCTTCCAGCCTTCTGCTCTTTCGCCATCCTGCCATCCTCCTTCATTGATCCTTCTTCTGCCCTGACCCTCAACTATGTGGCCCCTGCCAGCTGAAGCATTTTTTGCTTCTCCCCCTCTTCATCTCCCCTCACCTCAACGCTGCAGGAAGCTGGTCGCTCAACTCGCCCACTCGCACAAGCCAATGAGAGTCAAACCTCTTCCTGCCGCCCCTCGTTCCCCGAACCTCCTCCTCCCCCTCCTCGCACGCCCTCCTGCTCCTCATCTGCCTCCTCCTCATCGCCGTCATCATTATCTGATATCTCTTCATCTTCCTCCTCCCTTGCTCTTCCTCGGTCTCATGCTGCAGCTCTCCTTGCATTTGTTCATTAATTCAGGTCTGTTCAAACTTCACACAGAAATTTCACGTTCTCTCCCTTCCTTACTCACGGGATCGCATCCTCCTCTCCTTCTCCCTCCTCTTCTCCCTCCTCTGCTTGTCCCTCCTCCTCGCCGCCCTCGCCGCCCTCCCCCAGCACCTCCTCTGCTCCCTCCTCCGGCTCAAATATCTCCTCTTGCCCGTTTTGAGTGCTGAGAAACCTCCTGCTCGCCGTTCACACCAGCCCCACAGCAGTTGACACGGGGAAGATGAGAAATGAGGACGAGGATGGACGAAGAAGAAGGAGCAGGAGCAGGAGCAGGAGCAGGAGGGTGGGATCAGCAGGAGGAGGGTGGGACGAGGAGCTACCTGAAGCAGTTCTGCTGGAGCATGTGCAAGAGAGGTCGTAGGGTGGAAATGTGAGTCTTGGCCTTGGAAATGTCTCCCTCTTCATGTAGAATCTTATCCAACTCAGTCACCTGAAAACCCTTAGTCCTCCTGCTCCCCCTGCTCCTCCTGCTCCTCCTGACTCTCCCCCTCCCTCCCCTCCCTCTTCCTCCCATCGTCCTTCTCTTACCCCTTGGACTAGCGACTCGACTGCTGACGTCTCCGGTCTCTGCTAGAAGAAGGGTGAGGAGGAGATCGCAGAGCGAAGATTTCTAGAGGGAGGGGGAGCAGAGCGACGAGAAAGGGAAAAGGAGGAGGAGGAAGCGGAGGAGGAGGAGGGGGGAGGATAAAGAGAGAGGGGGAGGACAGAACCTTGGAGATGTCGTTTGGCTCCAGGAGGTTGTTCTTCGCGTAAGGGGAGTCGAAGGCGCCAGAGGCGTTGGAGATGGAGGCCATGGCCTGCAAGAGGAGAGTCAAGGCGACAAGGGACTGAGAGGTTGGCTGATGAAGAAACGAAGATGCTGCAGACGAGGAAGGAGGTTGGACAGAGGATGGCCTGGGGGCGGGGGAGAAAGGAGGAGAGGACAATGTGGGACCAAGATATAACACGGAAAAAAGAGGAAGGGAGAGGAACGAAACAAGCTAAACGAGAATGGGGTGGGTGGGAGTGAGGGAGACCTTTCTTATGAGATGGTTGTACAGGCGTGGAGATCCGTTCAAGAGTTTCCACATCTGGGGACCCTGGCAGATCGTGCAGATTAGACCGGTCCTGCATCCTCTCCGACGCTTACTTTGATCTCGAGCACCTCAACACATGTGATCGCATGAACATCAACCGTTCGTTGCCTCGAGACCATGAGCGCAACCTGGACAAGGAGCAAGTCACCGTCCTACTGCAATCGCTCGCTTCTTCCCTCTCCTCCCCTCCAACAACCCTTACCTCTCCGAAGAAATCTCCTGAGTTCAATCTTGCCACCTCCTTTCCACTGTTGGTCACCCTCACTGCATCAACGTCATTCACCTTCCCCTTGCCCTCCCTCCCTCCCTCCCTCCCTCCCTCCCTCCTTGTCTCGCTCTCTTCCTCCTCCTCCATTACCGGATCCGTGATCGATGAAGAAAAGCGAGTCGCCAGTGGCTCCAGCATGGACAATAGTCTATATTCGGTCTTGTGAGCGGTAGTTGCTCATGGAACAAGAGGAGGAGGAGGAGGAGAGGCAGCTGCATTTTCACCTGGTATGGACAGAACGTGGAAGCGACAAGAAGCGCATCAAACGAGCTGATCTCAGGAGGATCTTCCATGACCTTTAGAAAGAAATGTGAGCAAGAGAAGGGAGGAAACCGACGTAGAGGAGGAGATGAGCTAAGTGAAGTGTAGAGGCTGAGGAAGAAAACGGAGGCAGGAGAAGCAGGAGAGCTAATTAGACGAGCAGGAGGATGAGCTGGTAACAACACAGGAGGCGAAGGCTGAAGGAAGACCTTGAGGAGCTTCTCAAGAGCGTTGCGACCAGGCGTCTCCTTTCCTGTGATGTCTCCCCAGCCCGTCAAGTCGACGTTTCCTCCTCGTTGAATGTTCTCAATCGCCTGGACAACGGTCAGGAGGGAGAGGCGAGGCGAGCTTCGAGGGGCGACAAGGTCGATGGGTGTACTCACTTGGCGTTTCAAGCTTGTGTACAGCTCGGGATAGTCCGACAGGAGCACCCACAGATCTCTTGCTGACAACTGCATCGTATCATCGTCAGCTTCCCGCATCCTCTCCTCGCCTACCCTCGTCTTTCTTCCCTTCTTCCTCTCTTCCACTGCCTCCTCCCCTTCCTCCATCCTTCTTTACCTCCAGCAGCTCAGACTTCTCCGCAGCGACAACCTGGCGATGGAAGCACAAAGGAAGGTGGGCGCAGGCAAGGGGGAGACAAGGAAGGGAGGCGTCAGTATGCGAAGGAGGGAGGAGGAAGCAACTCGCCTCTGCTGAAGTGACTTCGGCCATCATCAGACTCACTTCTCCGAAGCAATCTCCACTACTCAGCGTCCTGACTTGCTGCCCATCCACTTGGACCTCGCAGCTCCCGTGCTCGATGAAGAAGAGCGACCGACCCGACACTCCCTGCCGGATCAGAACATCTCCCGCGTTGGCGATCACCGGCCTAACACGACCTGCCATGTCCTCTTTGCAAGCGCTCGAGCAGTGAGAAAGGATCACTCCAGCACGCTGCAGTCTCTCCACGTCGACAGAGGGCTGGCTCGGTCTGCTCTGCTCCTCTCTCATATCGTTGGTGGGGGAAGCAGGGGCAAGGTGATGTGCAAAGTCGCACTCTCCCCGCACGAAGTTGTCCCATGACATGGAGCGATGGGATCCCACGGGCGTTGCCGTTCTGGACCGATTCAGATGGTTCACTCGGCTTCCATCCAGAACTCCGTCCGCAAAATCCGACGCCCAAGGCCCTGCGATCGGCTCCGACGCCTCCCCAGCAATCTCTCCGAGCAGCTGAACGATCGAGTCTTGACTCGTGATCTGCGACCTGTTGGCCCGATGGGAAGTAGGAGCAGGCCACAAGGAGACGTCCATGCCCATCGATCTGGGGGCCAAGGATGGCGGTGCTGCTTGAGGCATGGAGGAAACGTTGCCCCCAGCCGAGGAATTCACACTCACATCCTCCGCGTTGTTATTCGCCTGCGAACTATACATCTCCTGCTTCACACTCCAGTCCGATCGCGCCATAGGGTCCACTGTCGAAGTTTGTCCGAAACCAAAGGGACGAGATTCAGCACCATCCTTGTTTTTGACTTGAAAGTCGCCGGACACGTTGACTCCCATCAAAGGAGCGTTACCCATTCCATACCCTGAAAGTTGTTGTGGTTGCTGCTGCTGCTGTTGCAAGGGCATCTGCTGCTGCTGCAACTGCATTTGCATGGATTGCTGCTGTTGCTGCAGCATTGGTGTTGACTGCTGCAGCATTGGTGTTGATTGTTGGAGCATTGGTGTTGATTGTTGGAGCATGGACATCTGCGGTTGCATCTGCTGTTGTTGTGTGGGCATGGACATCTGTTGCTGCAACTGCGGGCCAGAGCCGAGAGGAAGGCCAGAGGGATGGTTCCAGAGCCCAGCTTCTCGCATTAACCTCGAATTGGCGATTCCTTGCATCTTCGACATCAACAGAGGGTTGTTCTGCATTATGGGCAAGATGCTCAGAGCAGGAATCAAGAACAGGTTGCAAATGGTAAAAGCAACCACGTCCGCTGTCCTAGGTTCACCCGAGAGGAGAGAAATTTCACCAAAACATTCTCCTGCTTCAAGAAAAGCAATCTGTCTGCCCCGGACAGACACAGCACATCGTCCTGAGTCGATCACGAACAATGGACCTGGCGATTGTCCGGCTGAGATTATGACCTGCCCAGCTTGTGCAGTGACTGGCTGCATCATGTTCACAATATCAGAAACAAGAGAAGCATCAAGGCCCATCAGGATTTGCAATCTTTGTGCAAGCTCCATCATTCTCTGGCCAAGCATTCCTGGCACATTGCTCACAGGCATCGACGATGACATATTGGGTTGCATTCTACGGGATGGACCGACATAAACCATCAACATTTGAACTTTGTCTCCAGATTGACCGACGATGGAAACGATGTCTACCTTGTAGCTCCTAAAGTTGTTGCCGTTCATGTCGCCCACTCGGCCGAGGCGGAGGTGCATGAAAACCTTGTCACCGTTGGGACTGGACGAACGAGAAATCCTTGAGAGAAGGTCCACCAGACTCTGGGCGTCCTGGGGATGAACGATCGATTGCACACTCATTCCAATGATAGATGCCCGGGGTGAGGAAACCATCTCGCTAAGTACAGGATTGACTCTCACGAATCTCCACTGTTTGTCCAAGACAGCGACGCCCACCATGGGACTTGAGTCCATCACCTGGGATATCAGGCTGTACTGGTGGCTCTCACCGCCCTTCCCCTTGTTCTTCAGGATGTTACCAACATGTTCAGCTGCAAGCTTGAGGCACTGATTGAGCGTGCGAGGTCCTGAAGATGACTCGGGGAGCAAGCAGTCCAACTCGTGCAGCTTGTTCTTGGTCGCCCTTCGACGGTCTCGCTCTGCTGCAAGGTGCCGCTCTACGTTGCGACGTCTCGTCTTCGTGCCCGCTCCACCAACCTGATCTGCATTGTCTGATCCAAAGTCATCGGCGTTTCCATCGCCTTCTTTCTTCAAAACTACCTCGTTGGACATCTCACGTCACCTAACAAGAGAAGTCCGGTTGTCAAGTGAAAGAGACAGGAAGACCTGTTATGTTTCCATCCCGTGTCTGAAATAGAAGGTGAACCACAAGCACTGTTCGCAAATGGTGAGAGAATTACAAGATTTAGAAACAAGTCAGGGAAGGAGTCAATGCGAGTGAAGGGAGGAATGATGGCGTATGGTCTGAATGAGATCAAGAGATTTCATGGGTCAGAATCAGGACAGAGATGAATGCATCTCAGAAATAGTTTGATGAGTTGATACTATGAGATGAGGATGAGAATGGTGGCTCAAACATGAGATCAGGTAGGAGTGGATTTTGAGATATCAGATGCGAAAGAATTTTTGCGGCAGCGAAAGGGCTCATTGGCAGCGAAGCTTTCTTTGGGTAGACATTGTGTCCAGAAAGCTGCAGGAAATGGCAGGGACGGAAGGAAAAGAAGAGATGAGGTGGGGGCGGGCAGGTAAGAAGCTCTAGGAACGTTCAAGATAGCCACACAGGGAGCCAGACAGTGGGTTATGAAAAGGACGGTGGGTAGAGCAGAAGGAGCGGAAGTCATTGAACAAGGGACAGCAGTAGGAAATGGAGGGAGGGGAGAAGAGAAATGAGGAGGAAGAGGATAGGAAGCGAGAGAGGGAGGGGACGTTAGATCGAGTTAGGCGGGGGGAGGAGAAGCATGGCGGAGGCGGGGGGAGCAAAGGAGAGGGGGGAACGGGAATGACAGAGGGGTCCTCAAAAGGATGAGCTGCAAGTGGGATGAAAGGGTGGTCAGGGTAGAGGATTGTTCGAATGAAGTATTAGGAAAAATGAGGTAAGGTATGATAGAGATGCAATGACCCCAGAAGATATTGAATAGCCTGTTCTAGGAGGTGGGGTGAATAGGTCTAAATTAAAGAACTTTTCCGAGTTCGCCTCAGACTATCTCATAAGTGTATGTCAAGACAGAAAATATTTATTTAACGGAATAACCTCAAGGTTGCGAGGCAGCAGCCTGATAAGCCAGCCACCATAGAGCTATCAGTGCCGCTGAGCGCGGCCCGTGTCGCCCGGGCACCGGGTCCGGAGCCTCCCGGAGTCCCCGGAGTACGGTGCGGTCCGTACGGTCCGATCGCCGGATCGGACCGTCGGTCCCGGACTCCGAGGCTCCGGGAATCTCGACCCGCCGCGGCGGCCGCGGCGCGGGGCAGTGGGTCACGGCGCCATCAGCAACGTGAACTTGAGACTGGTGACGGTTCGGAACTCAGTGCCCGCCCTCACTGATTCCGAGTTCAAGTTTTCTGATTTACTTGAACTTCACAGCGGCCCCGGTCGGGTAGTGAGCCTGGTCCCGGGTACCGTACTCACAGTCTGGGCTGACCATCCGATCGGACATGGTGAATCGGGGGTCCGAACTAAATCGGAAGCACGGCTCAGCGGCTCAGTGATCCGAGACTCTGGAGTGACGGAGTCAGCATACCGACGGTGGCAGACCGTCAGTGAATTTGAAGGTTGAGCCTCCGTCACGCGGCCACCCAGTGCGTGATGCCATTAAACTTTCAAGGCTCAAAGTTAAGTGCCATTAAGTTCGGCTGCCGGCGCCGCACGGAATTCATTAAATTCATTTAATGACAGTAGATCCCGTGGGACTGCCAGCACTGACTTCAATCCGGGCATGCAAGCTAATATCAACATCACACATTGCGGTCCCCGCGGCGATCGCCAGCCTAGGAGCGGGGGGCGGCGCCAACTCCGGCAAATCACAGTGTTGCGGGGCAGTGATCCTACCCGACAGCCGCTGGCCGGCCCGGCCCACGAGTGACTGCCTACGGTCAGCAAGCTAAGGCTCCGACTCCGAGCACCGTCGTCAGGAGCCTGAGAGGCCCAGTAGCCCGGCACCGTTCACGGTTGGGGTGCGGCGGCGGTTCGGAGCATGCGATCAGTGCTGTGGTAGCCCGGGCAGCCCCCGCCACAGCGGCAGATGAAGAGGTTCAACCGGAAGTTGACCTCTGAAGGCTCCACTTTGTGACTACGCCGGGGCTCTAGGCAAGGGTTGCAGCTTGTGCAGGGTGGCAGCCTTGCACGCCGTCTTCGCCTCTTTCCTTAGCCGGTGACCTCGGCGATGAACCGTTGAACTGCCCGGGCCTTGAAATGTCAGTGAGTAGATCAACTCCCGGTGCCTTGGCGGTGGATGTTTTCCAATGGAATGCTCAAACGCAGCTGGGTCAGACTCCACCATTTGCATTGGAGGAGCTTCAGGTCAACTGCTGGGCAACAACTGGACGACAGGCAAGGGAGTTCGAACTCGGAACTTCACATGGTGATACAGCCATGCTTGTCCTCCACTCCCTTCAGGCTTCCTGGCTCGAATCCTGCCAGAGACTCTCCATACTCCAGCAGAACAGGTCCGCCGCCTTCGAGCTTGCTCTGCGCTCGATTCAACAAGGACAGGGGCAGGCTGCAAGGTTAGACAAACCTGAAGGACACAATTCTCGAGTGAGTCGCTCGGGTTCAACCTCGAGCCCGAGCCGTTGAAGAGGTTGAGCTTGACGCTCCCGGGTCTGCTGTTGTTGTTCAAGATCCTTCCCCTGAGGTCAACGGGAGTCAAGAGCTTCTCATCGTCCGAACAAGAGCAAGCAGGACTGCACCTGTCCGACAAGACATCGATCACCTTGCCCACAGTCCATCTCGCGCTCATCACGTGAAACTCCGGGGCCCGGTTAGAAGCTTGCGGGAAGTAAACCGAGAGGAGGAAACGCTCGTTAGCTGGGATCCCAGAGGCTCCGATAGCATCTTGATACAAAAACCATCAGCGATTGGGCAACGGTCACGTCCTACAGACCTTTCGGCTTGTTCGCATGCTTCTGATTGCGGCGGTTCGACTGCCTGGTAGGAGGCGCTGCACCGCTGGCGGCAGGAGGCGGAGCACTGAAGAGGCTGCTCATCACCCATCAGACCCCCTACGCTCTCCCTCCTGCTGACATCCTCTACCTCGAAGCTGCCTGCGCTGTCCTTTTAGCAATGTCGTTGGCGGGAAATGCTGGCATTCTAGGTTGTGAGTGGTTGGTCCGTGCATCTCCCATGCGTGCTGCTGCTGCTGCTGCTGCTGGATTGCTCTTCCCTGCTGCTGGATTGCCTTTCCCCTGCAGCCCGAGGATTCAGAACGGACGGAGCACACGACTTAGGCAAACTTTACCTTGGCGGGGCAATCATGGTCGGTTTCAAACCGGTGCTTCAAACAGAAGGGTTGCTTGCAGAGTTTGCAGGAGACCGGGACGAACTCCTGCTCTTCATCAGCATCACGTTGAGCAGACGACTCGCACGGACCTTCTCCTTGCACCCTCTAAAACTACATGCGTTAGACTTTGGCTGCTTCGCCACGACTTTCGGACACCCGGCTCGGATGTGCTGGTCAAACAAACTTGTCAGCTCGCTCGCCGCATTCGGATAAGCTAGAACCCTGTCAACGATGGCGTTCGGGTCCTCTCCAGGCTTGATCGTTATCGCCTACAAGTCATCAGAACGAGGGTGAACTTCGACATGACTACCTGTTGGCATAGCGGGCACACTGGAACATATTTGTCGTTCCGTGGGGGAACAGGACAAGTGTGTGCTTCTGGTTTATGATGGTTGAGACAGAATTTCTTCTTGCAGCCATCACAGCTATCAACAGCGTGTCAGCATTAAATCCGGTCAAACCATCTGATTCAAAAGATCCTCTTATTTCTTGCTGCCGCTGATAAGTCTCAACAAACAGCAGAACCTCTATCGCTGTCATGATTCATATTCTACAAATAATCCTATCGACGTCTTCAACCTGCCGGCCGTGCAGAGATCCTCTTTCGAAAGTGCCCACAACCTCCACCGACCAACACTTCTCTCGTCCCATCCTCGTTTCATGGCTCCATCCTCCATAAAAGGAGCCCCTCAAGTCGTTCAGCTTCCAACCTCCTCTCACTGGCATGTTCTCTTCCTCTCACTTACGTGAAGGGAAGGAAGTCGTTCTTCTCCATGCAGCCTCGCGCGCTACATGCGGCACCCAGTTCAGGGAACTCCATGGTCACTACAGGACCGATTACCCCACCACCTTTTGACCACGATCACTGCCTACAGTCCACCGGATACAAACAACCCCTCCCTCAATCACCCCTCTCTATTCCTAAGTACAGAAGTCAAAGGGTGGGGTGATCACAAGGGTGTAGTCCATAGGGGGTAGGGGGTAGGGGTTATCGGAGACTACCAAGGACTTACAAGGAGCAATGCGGCAGTCGCTGGTGCTTCTCTCCATGGCCTGCAGCGCAGCTGCCTTCAGCTCCCCTGGTAGCCTCCATCCTCTGAAGCTCACTCAGCACAGCCTTCCATCCGCATGCACTGTCGCATCCTCCCTTGGCTCTGCGAGATGCAAGCTGAGGAGAGATGCGTGCAACGGACAAGCTCGTCTCAGCATGCAAGGAGATGCGTCCTTTCAGTACACTCACCTCGAGATCAACTCTCAGCTGTGGACGTTCAAGGACCAGAAGGATGAGGTCAACATCTGCGTCGACCCCCTCGTTGGCCAGTTGGACTTCGGCCTTCCTAGTTCCGTGTACTGTGCGAAGCAGCGAGTTCTCAAGGACCCACAGGAAACCTTGCAGAAGATCGTTGAGGCTAAGCCTCGAATCATCCTGATCACACAATCTTTGGATGATCACACGCATCCACCAACCCTGAGCGCGTTGAGGAGGATGCTGCCGATGGACTCGTACACAATTGTTGCTCCACCGAGCGCAAAGAACAAGCTTGGCCAGATTTTCCCCGAGAGAGTGATAAGGATTCTCAGGCCAGGAGAGACGGCGAGCATCGAAGGCGTCGAGCTCGCAGCGACGTCAGGGTCTCTTGTTGGGCCTCCATGGCAGGACCCGGAGAACGGTTACATCGCAACCTGGCGTGGGTTTAGCGTCTACTACGAGCCGCACAACGACGTGGATGTTCAACAGAAGCTACGAGGGAGGAGAGCAAACGTCGTCATCGCCCCCGTCGTCGAGCAGGCCCTTCCCCTTTTCACCCTCGTGCATGGAGCGCAGAGGGCCATCGACCTGGCCGCGCACATGGGGGCCTCCACCCTGATCCCCCTCCGCAACGGCGACGTTGACTCCTCAGGGGTTGCGAGTGCCCTTGTGCAGGAGTCCGGATCTGTGCAGGAGGCGGTCAAGATTGCGAGAGACGTCAAGGTGATTGACAATGCTCCCGGACAGCCTGTGACCATCGACATCGATCTCGCTGGCCGCGCAATGAACCCTGTCTAGACTTGGGTAACTCGCCTGGTCTGGCATGCCCGACGACAACCGTACCGTGACCTCACATCCTCCGAGCAGGCCGCTGACATCCACTGATGGCCGCACTGCGCCGCACGCGGCACTTATTGAACGGGTCGGCGCCGGGCAAGTCCGCCACATTGAGTTGCCGCTCAGCGCCTCAAATGGTCAACCGGTGACTGTTTCCCTTGAAGACAGTGTGCGGCAGGCTCCGAGCCCGGCTGTTAGTGTCTGAGTTACGAGGCTTCAAATCCCCCTTTCCTCTTTTGTGTGTAAATGATTGTTTGCTTGTGTTCCTCTACCATCCGGTTGACCTCTGCTCCGAATCTACTGCGCCGCTGGCGACGTAGGCCGGGCCGCGAGTCAGGGCCAGAGATCTTGAGAAGGTTTTGAGCCTCTTGGTGAGGCAGACTAGGAACTCCCTGAGAGGGTAAGGTACCATATGTCAATACAGGTGGGTATGATCAGGGGTGTCTTGGAGCTTCAATTTCGGACAAATACAGGGGTGGGTTCTTGATTCTTGGGGTAGGGGTACAATGATGATGGGGTGGAGATGAAGAGAGATACTTCACGTGCAGGCTGTGGGAGCATGGGGGAGCATTGGGAGGGAGCGCGAGGAGGGAGAGAGGGAAGGGGAGGGAGAGGGGGAGGAGCAGGAGGGGGAGGAGGGAGAGAGGGAACAGGACAGGAGTGAGGTGGATAGGAGAGAGAAAGTGACAGCAGGATTATGAATGGCTGCGGCAGTAAGATTGTACAACGCCGAAGCAGAAGAGAGGTAGCTTCCCTGTCAACCCGAAAGCTTCAGACCTAGAACATTTGGGCTTAACCTTGAGATGTCAGTCATTGAGTAGAATGCAGAAGATGCTGGTGTGAACGGAATTCGTGCAATGAATGCTTCTTTTCGAGATAGCAAGAGAGTTTTTGCTTCCTAATGATCTCTTCAACTCACTCTTCCTCTTCCAGTTGAAGGATCAGCCCCAGCAATGTCGCCGAACAAGAAGCTCCTGCTCAAGCGGCAGTATGAGCGGACGGCTTCCATAGAACCCTTCTACACAGGAGGAGCGATCGCCTTGTCGGGCGATGGGTCGATGATGGCGTGCAAGTGCGGGGGAGAGGTCTGCCTTGTGGACGTGGCGACGGGAAAGGTCTCGTCCAAGATTGCAGCGGATTCGGAGGAGCTCATGGCGCTCGCGCTCAACCCCAACGGCGAGGAGATGATCACGGCAGGACGGGACATGCTTGTGAAGACCTGGGACCTGGCTGAGGGGAAGAAGCTGAGGTCGTGGAAGGCTGGGCAGGGCAACAGCTACGTGCTGAAGCTGACTTACGACGAGACCGGCACCCTGGCGGCCGGGGGATGCAGCGACTCGATCGTTCGCGTGTGGGACGCGGGGAGAGGGTACGCAACGCACAATCTGCGGGGCCACAAGGCCATCATAACGAGCATCCGGTTCGGCCCCGTCCCTCCATCCAACCCCAACGCGGTCCTGCTCTACTCCGGAGCGGAGGACGGGCAGGTGTGCGTGTGGTCCCTGGAGCAGAAGGCGTGCAAGTACTCGCTCAAGGGGCACGACAGCGCCGTGACGGCCATCGTCCTTCATCCCATCTCGCACTCGCTGCTGACTGGAGGAAGAGATCGAGTGGTTGGAGTGTGGAACACGAGCAGCTACCAGCTGGAGAAAAGCATCCCTGTCTTCGACGTGGTCGAAGGGCTGGTTCTCTCTAACGGGGCGGAGGCGGAGGCTGAGGCTGAGGAGGAGGAGGGGAGGAGAGGGCAGCGAGGGAAGAAGAAGGGAAAGGAAGGGAAGAGCTCGGAGGAGCACATCGCAGCCATGAGGGCGAAGCTTGAGTTCGTGACGGCCGGAGCTTCCGGGCTGTTGAAGAAGTGGAGTGTCAAGACAGGAGCCAATATCTTGAGGTAATTTTTTCCTCCTTTTCCCCTCCTCCCTCCTCCCTCCTCCCTCGTCCTCCCTCCCTCGTCCTCCCTCCTCCTCTCCCTCTGCTCTCTCATCTATCCTCGCACCTGCTTCTCCTGTGCTAGGGATGTGTCTGACGCAGGTTCCGCAGCGAGAAGGAGCGCCCCGGCAAGATCGCTTACGACAACCTGCTCCTGCACGGCCCCTCCCAGCACATCCTGGCGGTCACGATCGACCAGACTCTCATCTTCTGCAGCCCCGAGAACTTCCAGGTGAGGGAGAGGAAGGAGCTGAGCCGTAGAGGAGGAGAGGAGGCGCAGACGAAGGGAGGGGAAGGGGAGAGATGGGAAGAGCAGCAAGGATCAGGAGGATAGCGAGGAGGGGACGAGTTGAAAGGAGGAGGAGGAGGAGGAGGAGGAGGAGGAGGAGGAGGAGGAGGAGGAGGAGGAGGAGGAGGAGGCTGTTGGTGACTTGACGTGGTTCTGCTGCGGCAGATTGAGAAGCAAATGATCGGCTACAACGAGGAAGTGCTCGACCTCTCTTTCGCCTCCGAGACTTGCCTGGCCGTTTGTACCAATAGCGACAACCTGCGAATCTTTGACACACAGACGAGAAGCTGTCGGTTGCTGTACGGGCACAAGGTGAGAAGATGGATGATGATGATGATGAGGATGAGGATGATGATGAGGAGGAGGATGAGGATGATGATGATGATGAGGAGGAGGAGGAGGAGGAGGAGTAGCAAAGTGTAGTTGTAGTTGTGATGATGGTAGAGATGATCTTCATTTCTCTTCTTCTCTTGCTGAACAAAGTTGGCAGAACATGATTCTCGCTGTCGATTGTCATCATCGTCATGGTATCATCGCAACGGCTTCTAAGGACCAGCTGGTGAAAACTTCTCAAATATTTTCCCTGCTTTCCTTTCCCTCCTCCACCTCTTCCAACCCCCTGTCCTCCCCCCCCCCTCAATACTCTTCTACCTCCGGTCACCTCACGCTCTTCCTCTCTTTTCCTCAGGTTCGCTTCTGGCATGTTTCCACCGGCGTCTGTCTTGGCGTCTGTGAGGGTCACGTCGATGCCGTCGGCGCCGTCGCCCTGGCCCCCAAGTCCATGAGCTTCGTCTGCTCGGGGAGCAACGACTTGTAAGATGCGTCCTCGTCCTCGTCCTCGTCCTCGTCCTCGTCCTCGTCCACGTCCTCGTCCTCGTCCTTTCCTCTTGGTCATTGAGCATAATCTTACTTTCCTCTCGATTCTCTCGCTCACTCTCGTCCAGGACCCTCAAAGTCTGGGACACGTCGGAGCTTATCACAGCTGCACACAAGCTCGAGCACGAGGAAGCCTCCTCCTCCTCTCCCCTCCAGCTCAGCACTCTCCGCTCATGGAAGGCGCACGACAAGGACATCAACAGCGTCGCCGTCTCGCCCAACGACGCGCTGCTGGCCTCAGGCTCGCAGGACAGGACGGTGAAGGTGTGGGAGAGGACGGGGGAGCTGCGGGTCAGCTGCAAGGGGCACAAACGCGGCGTCTGGTGCGTCAAGTTCTCGCCCGTCGACAAGGTCGTCGCCTCCTCGTCCGCAGACGCGACGGTGAAGCTCTGGAGCCTCGGGGACGGGAGCTGCCTCAAGACGCTCGAGGGGCACGAGGGCTCTGTGCTCAAGTTGGCGTTTGTGACCAGCGGGATGCAGCTGGTGACGGGGGGGAGCGACGGGCTGCTGAAGCTCTGGACCCTCAAGACCTCCGAGTGCGTCGCGTCGCTGGAGCAGCACGAGGACAAGCTGTGGGCCCTCGCGGTGGCGCCCGGGGAAGACACGCTGCTGGCAACGGGAGGGGCGGACGGGATGATCAACTTCTGGGACGACGTGACGGCTGAGATGGAAGACAAGGCGAGGCAGGAGCAGGAGGAAAATCTCGTCCTCGAGCAGCAGATGATGAATGCCTTGCGTGCCAAGGACTACAAGCTTGCTGCTGTGAGTCTGGCTGCTCCTGCTCCTGCTCCTGCTCCTGCTCCTGCTCCTGCTCCTGCTCCTGCTCCTGCTCCTGCTCCTGCTCCTGCTCCTGCTCCTGCTCCTGCTCCTGCTCCTGCTTCTGCTCCTGCTCTTCTTGTTGCCTTCTTTTCGATTTGTCTCTCCTCTCGTTGATTAACTTTTGCTGCTCCCAGTTGCTGGCCTTCCGACTCAAAAAGCCCTTCCACCTCCTTCAGGTCCTGCAGCTCCCCCTGCCTCGCTCCCTTCTCCGCTTGTCTGGGGATGATCAACATTCATGCGCGTCAATTGAAACTTTTGTTGATGCAAAAAACGAGCGTGACAGCTCATTCTACTGACCTAGATACTTCCTTGTGTTGTCCTCCTCCTCCTCCCCCTCCTCGTCTGATTTTCGATCATGTGCAGGTTCTTCAGAGTGTCATTACTGAGAAGGACGAGGGTCTCCTGGATGAAATCATTGTCAGCTTCACTTCTGAGCAGGTTCTCCTCTCCCCCCACCCCCCCCACCCCCTCCTCCTTCAGGGATGAATGCTTACATTCATGCGCGTCAATTGAAACACATTCGTGTTCGTGCAAAGACTGAGTTTGACCACTCAACCAAACATGACCTGAAGCCTCTCCTCCTTCTCGTCGTCGTCCTCGATCTCGACCTCGTCCTCGTCCTCGTCCTCTTCCTCCAGCTCAATCTTCCTATCCTTGCTGTTTCTTGCTTCCCAACTGACGCTCCTCCTCCAGCTCTCCACCTGCCTGCAGTACCTCCGAGACTGGAACACTTCCGCGAGGAACGCACACACCTCGCAGGCGGTCCTGCTCGCCATCCTCCGCTCCTTCTCGCTCGAGCAGCTTTGCGAGTGTGAGGGCATCAAGGACATTGTCGACTCTCTTCTCCCCTACACCCAGAGGCACTTTCAGCGCCTTGAGGACGCCATGCAGGTACCGAAGCTCCCTACCTCCTTCCTTCCTTGTCCCCGCCCTCCTATACACCTTCACTTGCTTCTCCTTCTCCTTTTTCTCCTGCTCATGCTCAACTTTCTTTTCTCTGCTCAACTTTCCCCTTCCTCCTTCACTCGCTCCTCCTTCTGCTCCCCTTCCCTGGTGTTTGTATTCTCACTCGTCGAGCAGAGGACCTACATGCTTGACTTCACTCTCCATGCCATGCGCAGCGTGCTGGGAGGGTCGGACAAACTCGACGACGAGGAGGAGGAGGAGGAGTCCCTGCAGCCTTGGCGGAGGACTCGAGCGAGACGAGCAGTGGAGGAGAGGAAAGAGGAGGTTCAGGTGCAAGAGGTCGAGCAAGGGGAAGAGGAAGAAGACAACGAGGAGGAGGAGCAAGAGGGGGCGACGGCGATGGAGGGATGGGGTGCCTGGGGCAGCGTACCACAGCCGTCTGATGAGGACGAGCGAGCGAACTCGGAGAATCAGCCCATCCCTCAGGTGGGCAGCAGCTCGGCAAAGGGGAAGAAGCAGCAGAAGAAGAAGCAGAAGCAAGATGAACAGGAGGAGGAGGAGGAGGAGAGCAAGCTTCGAACTCCTGCAGCCAAGTCAGAGAGGACGAGGCCTGCGACGACAGGGAAGCGCGCAAAGCTCACTCGGGCAAGAGAGGAGGAGAAGGGCGGGGAGGAGGAGGCGAAGGTGGTGAAGCAGAAGCGGAAGAGCCTGGACCCGACGGGGAGCAAGGCGGCACGAGGGAGCGCGAAGAAGAGGAGCAAGTCGTGAGCTGCTGGGTCATTATTCTTTCACTTGTATAGTTGGGACGAGGCTGAGGAGGACGAGTGCTGGAGCTCTGCTGGGACCTCATGGGTCGGGAAGACAAGGACCCAAGCCCAGGTGTGTACATGTGTACATGTGTATATCTGTTTGTGTGTATATCTGTACATGTGTACGGGTGTACGGGTGTACGGGTGTATGTTTGTACATGGATATGTGTTGATACTTGTGTCGTCCCCACAAGCCTCGTCTGTCCGCGTATGACCCGCGTGTCTGCGCGTGCGATGGCCTGTGGCAGATCCTCGTGCCGCCAACCAGCGATGCTGCGGCTCCCTGACGCTTCTTGCTCGGGACCCCAACCGCAACATCGTCAAATGAGCCGCCGACATGCCTGATAATGATGATGATGATGATGATGGTGGTGGTGATGATGATGGTGATGATGATGATGATGATGATGATGGTGATGGTGGTGGTGGTGGTGGTGGTGATGGTGATGGTGATGGTGGTGGTGGTAGTGGTGGTAGTGGTGGTAGTGGTGGTGGTGGTGGTGGTGATGTCGACGACGATGATGGTGATGCCGATAGTACCGATGATGGTGAGGAGGATGAGGATGGTGAGGGGGATGGGTACTGTGATGATGATATTTTGCATATATGCATCCGTGTATGTGACATTTGTCATCCGCAGCAACTCCAGCATAGCCCCAGCACAACATGTACATAAGATTCAGCCTCATACTCGTAAAGAAGAGTAAAGATTCAGAAAAGACAACGTCCACGTGCTCACGTAGAGAGGGTCATGGATGAGAATGGTCCTGAGAGATACAGGAGATATGCTCGAGTACTTGTATGTACAGTCCATGTACAGATACAGGAGATATGCTCGAGTACCTATATGTGCATGTACACGATGCGAGCGCGTTCACGGGTGTATGAGCATCTCCGCAAGTCTCGAGGGGCTGCACGCGATGAGGGTCTTGTATACCAACTAGTCGGATCTACTTACAGGACTCAAGGACTCTCCTCCCCCTCCCTGCTCCCCTGCTCCCCTGCTCCCCTGCTCCTCTTTCTTCCTCCTTCCCCTCTCCCTTCCTTCTGGGTTTGTTTCCTCCCCCTGCTCCGCTTCTTTTCCTCTCTCCTCCTCCTGCTCCTGCTCCTTCTGCTCCTCCTCCTCCGCTGTCTCGGATGCTGCGCGGCCCCTCAGACCATATCAGAACCTGGGATGCGCTGCTGTTGCTTCCTTGCCTTGTAGCGCTGCAGGAGGAGAGATATGGGCATCAGCTGGCAAAGGAGCCGAGAAACAAGATGTGGGTCACCTGGAGCTGCTGCTGGAGCTTGTCGTTCAAGACGATGAGCTGCCTCATGTACGTCTCGCCTGCGGAGAGTGAGCGGGAGCGAAGGAGACGCCTCCTCGTATCACTCTTAGCTCCGTCCTTGCGGATCTCCTCTTGCACCCACTTCCTTGCCTGCTCGCACTCCTGCAGGGCCAGTGAGCTCGAGACCAAGGCAGAGGAGCAAGCCTTGGCGATCGCGTCGGCAGTGTCATTCAGCGAGCTGTAGGAAGACTGGTCGTCCTGAGCAAGAAGTCAAGCAAGACAAGCAGGAGCAGGAGCAAGAGCAAGAGCAGGAGGAAGAGGAGCAGCAGCAGGAGCAGGAGGAGCAGAAGGAAGAAGATGCGGGAGACCCACCAGCACAGACGACATGACGAGCAGGATCTCCGACGCTTGACCGAACGTCATCTCCTCGCGGGGAGCAGCTGGGCTTTGAGGTCAGTCGCGAGGCTGCAGAGGCTCCTTCCTCACTTATCGCGAGCTGCTGCCCGTCAGGGTACATGGCTGGGGGGTCGAGGTGACCTGCCCTAGTCGTCACTGCCACAGCAGGCGAGGTCAAGAGTCCCAACCCGACGATCCTCGGGCTCCTCTCGGCGGCATCAAAGCAGCTTGCGGGGGAGGAGGAGCATAGACCGGTTGCTGGGCTTGTGCTGGTGGGGAAGGAAGAGCATAGACCGGTTGCTGGGCTTGTGCTGGGGGGAGAGGAACATACACCACTTGCTGGGCTTGTGCTGGGGGGAGAGGAATATACACCACTTGCTGGGCTTGTGCTGGGCCGCCATCGTAGGACAAGTCTGCCTGCACGCTCGGAATAATAGCGGAGTTACGAGCAGCAGGGCTGGAGCTGGCTTGGTCGTTGGGGAGTGGAGGGTAGGAGAACGTGTCCGTCAATTTGAGCTGATTGAGAAAACGCTTGTCTAACGCGTGTTGTTTGAACGATTGTCGCACCGGATACATGAATTCGTTCGCAAGCCTCTCCAGCCTCAGCTGCAACAAGATCGTAACGTACAGCAACATGCCGGTTATCACAAACACCAAAGCAGCCGCAGCAGAGCTGACCGGCACAGGGATCGTCCAGCTGAAGCCCAGCACCCCCTCCCTCAGCTCCGTGAAGCAGCTCCCACAGTCAACCCGGTCGCCCGGGCTCACGTCACAGCCCATGATACCGCAGGAGCTGACGTAGCCGCAGACGCTCTTGATCTTGAGACAGGTCCGTACCTCCTCCACCCTCATCGTCTGCCTCATTACCTGGGGGAACGGAACGACCTCCCCAGCACACCCTGGGCTGCTCTGCCAGAACATGCAGTCGCTGGCGAGCTCGAGGTGGACCATGTCTAGCTTCATCTCGCACTGCTGCTTGCTCGTCACGCTCTTGGCTAGGATCACCTCGGGGAAGAGGATCGGCTGGCCGGAGGTCTTGACCCCTCTAGTCTCCGAGCAGTTCACCCAAGGGCTGCTGACCCCCACGACAACATGCTGGGCCTTGAGGATCTGGTATTCGACGCCATACTTGGAGGGAAGAGGCTTGTAGATCAAGATGGAGATCTTGTCGGTCTGAGAGCAGACCATCTTGAGAAAGAATGTTGTCCAAAGAACCCACTGATACTCTGACTGGGCTTTGCACCATCGCGTTTTTGCCATGTCTCCCTGCCCGTGACACTTAGGATACGTCAGCTGCCCGGCCAGCACGTCCATGAGCCCAAGGAAGATGAAGATGAGGAGGGCAAGCTTCTCAAACCCGCTCAAGACCGGAGCGAGGATGCAGGCGTAGATGGTGCAGAGGACGACGACGATCTCCGTCAGCCGCCTGACCATCACCATATTCCCGTAGCGGACGTTGGCTTGCTGGATCAAGCTCACAAACAGGCCCGACATGAGAAGTGAGGCCCCGTTGATGCAGGTGACGCCGCTGCGGATGTTGACCAGAGTGTCCATGAGCATGACGACGAACTGCAACTTGACCAGAAACTCAACCAGGAGGCCGCACCGGATGTCCTTCTTGAAAATGGCGGAGACGAAGCCTGGCAGGAAAAGCTGCAGTACGGATGTGACGATCGACAGGTAGCCGAGCATGTCCAAGTCTGAATCATCTCCTTTCCGCACCTGCCACAGTATGCAGGGGGCGACGAAGACGATGGTCATCGAATACAACCACTCCAGAAAGGTCTGCCAGAGTTTGAAATGCACATAGCCTTCATTGAGCTCGATCAAGCGTCGGAACCTTCTCAAGAAGACTGAGTTCGATCCCTTGCAGCCGAGGTCTTTGTTGTACATGGTCCACTTCTCCTCAAAGACCTGCAGGTCTCCTCCGATCTCCCGCACCACCTTTGTTTCAGTGATCGCAAGGTCAGAAGCCACCTTCTCAGCCACCTCGTTAAACTCTGGCGTGGTCAAGGCTCGAAGCTTGAGCTTCTTCTCGAACTCGTAAACTCTGTCGTCCCTGGCCATCCTGCATGTCAACATCCCATCTTTGATCTCGGCTTTGCAGCGCCGCTCGCTTGGAAGCGGACAAGCCACCACGGGATTGTCCACTGGTATCAGTCTCTCCATCTCCTGATTTAGAACGGCGAGGTCGACGTTCTCTAGGTTGTTCTTAAGATCTCTGTTGAAGATCTGGGACTCCAGTTCTCCTTCCACCATGCTGCTGTGATGTGTCAGGCTCTAGATGCTCAGGGTAAGAGTCAACTGCGAGTGAACAGCGTCAGGACTCCTCTACGACGCGTGCAAGGGCGGAAGCATCAGACGTGAAGGAGAGGACAGGAAAACGAGATGTGTGAGGGTTGGGACAGTGCGCGGTACCGGCCACGCCCTGGCCCCTCAGTGAGTACTGGCCAAAATGTGAAGAACAGGACGAAGGAGGATAGTGTGAGATCTAGGACAGGAAAGGACAGGACAGGACAGGGGTGGGAAGCAATGATGGGAGGAGCGATGAGAGGAGCGATGGGAGCAGGAGAGGAGGAGGAGGATGACGTTCACCTGCGTTCTCTTGTGCTGGGAGGACCACCAGACGCTTTTCAATTTGTCACATGCGCTGGGAAACGCTGCCCCACCCCCCCATTTCCCATCTTTCACCCCCCTTCCTCTGCCCAAGGCACTGATCCAGTCAAACTTTTATTGACTGAAAAAGCAAGGCAAACTGGAGCAAACAAACGAGGACGAGGATAAAGCCTACAAACCCGCCTCAATAAAATACTAGGAAGCTAAGGAGGCAGCGAAAGCCACTACTACTCCAACCACGGGGGCCGAGGACTTCCGGGGCACTCAGTGCTGCCTCTCAATGTACTACTGAGTTCTCCACCCCCCTCCCCCCCCTTTCCAACTCTACTACCCCCTCTCAGCCCACTGTTTACCCCATGTCGATGTACCCCCTCATATCTATTAAAACCACCCCCTTCATATCCACCCATTCGGCGATCTCATCCGAATCGAACTGTGCAAGACCACCCCCGACTATGAACCCACCCCACGACATCAGAACCCCAATTTTTCCCCTGACAATATACCCTACTCTACCTAGGAATACACCCACCCCACCCTCTCCATCTACGACCCTTGCCCCTATCTGCTTGAAACGTTGTATTTTCACAACGTTTCACAATCAAGCCAACACGGATTTCGCAACTCCTTTATGAATTGGCTGGACCCCCACCCCCCACCCCACCCCCCGAATGACTACGCATGACCCTCGCTCCACCTGCAACTCGTCTATGCACCCTGGCAGGGATCGGAACATTTCTGTACGACTACCGGTACTTCTTGCAATCAAAGTACCTCTACATTGACTACCCCGACCCCTTTTTGGCCCCCTTCATTTAGAGTAAATTTCACTTAAAAGCTCACCCACCCCCTTTAATTTCTGTCTACCACCCCCCTCATACCCTCGTAGTCCTCCATGCCGCTCGGCGATGACTGTAGCATGCGTTGAGAGGACGAGGAAAGGGAGGAGGAGGCGACTGGGGGATGGGGGAGGCGACCATGGTGAAGGGTGTGACGAGCATGATAGAGAGTCAGAGACAAAGAAGACATGAGAAGGTGGTATGACGGTGAGCAAAAGAAAGCAAACCGACGAGGAGTGTGAGTCATCGCGAATGATAGACGATCACGCCAAATGACAAAGGCCTCGAGCATTTCGCAGATGAAATGAATAAGCAGAAGAGTCTTGATATGATTGGTTCGTTGAGGATGCGATGAAGTAGATCATGTGTCATTGAAGATCCTGCTGTTCAGCAAGGTCTAGGTCAGCTTGCACGAAACGCACTTCTCTGCAACCGCGCGAAGATGAAGAGAGTGAGGAAGCAGATAGTCCTTACATGAGATTGAAATTGAGTTCTCCGTGCTCTTAAAGCTGCAAATGACCTAAAGGAGCTCACCAACATGAGTGTGAGCGTCTTCAAGAAGGTTTCAATCATAGGCCACTGCGATGGTACGGAATTTGTTGTAAAGGCAAAGTGTATCGTAGACAGCAGCAGCTGCATAACATTGGCTGAGAATCAGCATCTTGGTCGATCTTGACTTATTCGTTTCGCTCAGATGAGTACCGACAAACCCTTCCGAGAGGACGAGACGTGAGTCAGACCTATCGCCTGCTACAGCTCAAGTTGTTGGTGCTGACGTGCGCCCAGGTACCACGTCACGTCCGAGATTTCATTCATGGGCTCTGATAGTTCACCTCGTCACTTCTCGAGGTCCTTGCTCTTTGATATCTGACTTTATCCTACGCTGACGTTGTAGCAGGGATCAGACTCTGCAGACAGAGCCTTTCCTGACTTACTTCCCTTTCTGTAGCGATTTCGGGCCTCTGAATTTGAGGTAGTGGGAGTGTTCTGACAGTGCAGCTGCGCTGACCGTTCTCTGCTAGTTGTATCCTCCGATTCTGCTCTTCATTGTCCGAGCTCATCCGCGAAAAACATGTAAATGCAATCTTGGCTTTTTCCAGGCTCCTTACCCTCCCTCTCAGAACGTTTTGGTTCAATCGCCACCTGAAATTGAGCCCCGAACAAACACCATTTTCCTCATAGGATGCTTCCTGGTGTCTTGCCTTCCTCGCGCGCAGGTCACAGGTCTAACGTCCCATCAGATTCTAGAACGGGAAATGGACCCCAGTCAAGCCGATCTGCCGTTCTGTCGAGCCCATCCTACTTTCTTGCGGTCTTACCCTGATGGTAGCATTTCGACGCTGCTGTGCTGCTGTGCTGACAAGCGTGCCATTAGCGTCATATCACAACGTCGGGTTTGAAATCAGCGTCTTCGACGCCTGGCGGGCAGTGGAGAAGGCGAATGTAAGTAGTCGCTGGGTCGCCCTTGCGCTGAGAGAGGTTGATGGCAGAGGGAGGGATGGCTGAAGCCCGAGGTCTTGGACTTGGAGGTCTAGCATGCCTGCTCGAGATGAGGAGCTGTGACTTGGAGGGAACAGGAATACGACCATTACGACGACCCCAACAACGGCGACATGCAAATCATCGTGCCGAACAAGCTCCTGCTGTTCAAGGTAGCCTATGATTGGACCGGCAAGTTGGCGGCTGATGTGAAGCGCAGGGGCCTGTGGAAGACATACCTGAAGGAAGTTTGTGGGTCGACAACCACTACGTCAGAATGGTGAGGTGGTCATGGTTGCCCGAGCGAGGGGAAGGGGGAGCAGGGAGGGAGGAGCAGGGAGCAAGAAAGGGGTAGAGGGAGGAGAGGGAGGGCAGGAAGGATTATGGACCAGTAGGGATGTTGAAGTTGGATGTTGGCAGTTCCATCCGAGGTTCTACCTTGAAGTCTTCGAAGAGATCCGAGTCAAGACTGTTGTTCGTCTCAACGCTCCCAACTACGACCCTAAATTCTTTGAGGTGCTGCTTGTGGAGGGAGGGAGGAAGGGAGAAGAGGGAGAGGAAGAGAAAGGGCTTACTGTGAGCAGGATGCCGATATGGAGCACGTGGACCTCTTCTGCGAGGACTGCTCGGTTCCTCCAACCCAAGTCATCTTCCACTTCCTCCAGCTGCTCCAGCGGGTGGATGGCATGGTAGCCGTTCACTGTGATACTGGTCTCGGCGTCGCTGCCATGCTCGTTGGTGAGAGGAGGGTCGAGGATGCGCGAGGGAGGATGACGGGGAGATGCAGCGACCTACCTCATCAGCTTCCACTCCTTCACCGCAAGGTAAGCGAGACTTCCTGCTGTAGAAGCCTCCTGCTTTATCTGCTCGTGCTTCTCTTGCTCCTGCTCCTGCTCCTGCTCCTCTTCCTCGTGCTCCTCTTTCTGCTACTTTTGCTCCTCTTGTCCCTACCTTCCCTTTCTGCCTCCTCCTGCTTCCTCTAGTTGGCCTTACAGTTTTTTGGTTGCAGGGAGGCGATTAGCTGGGTGAGGATCATGCGGCCGGGGAGCATCATCGGCATGCAGCAGCTGGTGAGGGACGGGGAGGGAGTGCGAGCGCTGAGACGAGTTGCAGTACCTGGAGGAGAAGGAGAAGGTCTGGAGAGACGCAGGGAAGAGGATGCAGACAAGGTGAGGATGGAACGACGACGAGGAGGAGGAGCTGACTTGGGCAAAGGTGTGCGCCGGACGTAACAGGGATAGCAGACTTGAGGATCAGAAAGGACGACTCATGGTGAGGAGGAGGAGGAGGATGAGGAGGAGGGAGAAGTTGCAGGGGAGTTGACAGCTGGGCAGGCGAAGGTTTGCTTTCACACAAGCAGAATTTCCTGCCCCCTCGGTAATTCTCTTCAACATTTTATTGCTTCCTCCTCTTCCTCCTCCTGATGCAAGCCAACTTTTATCATTCCCAATGACGCTGCTTATGGCCCGCTGTTGTCCTGCCAACAACCTCCTTTCGCCCTCGTTCTGCTCCTCCCTCTCTCCCCCTCACGTTCTAGCAGGTCTCCAACAACAAAGGAGGCAAGCTTGAGTCAAACTTCGATTTCGAGTAGCTTCGTCCATGTCCCTCCCCCTGCTCCTCCTCTCTCCTCTCTCCTCTCCAGTCAGCTTGTCCCTATATGTAACTTGTAAATAGTCGGATAATCGCTTCTTCCGGCTCCCTCCTCCTCCCCTCTAGCTCTGCTTCTCTTCCTCGTTGGGTTTCTCATGCGGAGCCTCTTGCGGGGGTGGAGGAGCAGTGGTGGGTCGCTTCACATTTACTGCGCACGCTAGTCAGGCCGGCAGGGTGAGGGAGGGCTGGGGGAGGCTGGAGGTCCAGCTGAGAAGGGACAACAAGGTGCGGGAGGGTGACTAGGAGGGAAGGAGGGAGAGAAAGTAGAAAGGAACCTGAGGGAGCGGCCGGGCGGGGCGTGAAGGAGAGGAGGAAGGGTGGAGGAGGGGGGGAGGAGGAGAGAGGAGCCGAACTCACCAGGCATGATTTCTCCCTTGAGATCCGGACAGAAAGCGTCGATTACTGTCGCAGTCAGCGCCCACATGTCTTGGCCGGACGATCTGATAGGACGTGAATCAGCGACGTAGGAGAGAGCGAGGAAGGAGAAAGAGAGGAGGGAAAGAGGGAGGGAGAGTAGGGGAGAGGGAGGGAGAGGAGGGGAGAGGGAGGGGAGGAGGGGAGAGGGAGGGGAGGAGGGGAGGAGGGAGGAAGGAGGTTGCTTACTGCTGGACTTTCTGGTACTGAGGGTCCGAGTGCATGGCTTGAAGCATCTCCTTGAGTACCTGGCGGAGCATGAGGGGAAGGCAAACGAGGAGGAGACGAGCAGAACAGCACGGGAAAGGGGAGGGAGCAGGAGGAAGGAGCAGCGGCGGGTGGAGCAGGAGGGAGGGACAGACAAGAGGGGGACGGGCGGGGCAGCACCTGGACGATCTCGTTGGAGATGGGATCCCTCTTGGTCGCTCTGATCCGAAGCTTGAAGGCCTCGATGAGGCCCAGGAGCCTCAGCCAGAGCATGTGGAGCTCGGGGAGGTGAATGATGAGATGCCTGGCAGACGCAGTGAGGGAGGAGGTGCGGAGAAGAGGAGGGAGGAGGGAGGAGGGAGGAGGGAGGAGGGAGGAGGGAGGAGGGAGGAGGGAGGAGGGAGGAGGGAAGAGGTGAGATAATAGTTGGAGCAGAGACAGGGGAGTGAAGGAAATTTGGAGAGGAGCAGGAGGCAGAGGAAACAAAGGAGGCTAAGGAGATGCTGCGAGGGAGGGAGGGAGGGAGGGAGGGAGGGAGGCAGCAGCGGTGCTTACAGATTGTTGCGGTAGGACTTGCAGAGCACGAGAAGTGTGTTGAGGCACATGATCTCGGCTTGCGTCTGCCCCGCGTTGGCGGCAGTCTTGAACTTGGAGGAGACGATAGGGAAGACGATCTAGCAAGTGATCGTAAGAGGAGAGGAGAAAGATGGTAGTGGGTGGTGAGGGCGGGGGAAGGGAAAGGAGGAGGAGGAGGAGTAGAGGGAGGGGAAGAAGGCGAGGGCCCAAACCTGATCGTAGCAGTCTCGCCATGCAGTGGCGTAGGGGACGTAGACGTCAGCAGAGAGGAGGGCCCGCTCGAGGCTCTCGAGGGCAGGGAGGGAGAGGAGGGAGAACTTGTCGTCATGCGCTAGGCGACAGAAAGATTTGACGCAGAGCATCCAGAGGTTGCACCTGATCATGAGAGGATCAACAGAGAGGAAGCGGACGAGAAGAGATCCGGTCATGGAGACAAGACACACGTCACACTTGCTTCACAAAGTCGCTCGCTTGGATAGGACGTCTCATCACCATCACACCAGAGGGCAGCAGACAAGAGGGCAAGGGAGGAGGCAGACAAGAGGGCAAGGGGAGCGGAGGAGGGAGGTACGCCATGTCTCACCAGCTCTGCTCGTCCTCTGGAGAGTACCCCAGCCCGAAGTTGCTGTCCGGCCCATCCTCCCATGTCTGCTCGACGCCTATCGCCACGCTCGAGCTCGTCGTCTGCTCAGCCGCCAGACTTGCGATGCTTCTCGTCGCCTCCTTCTCATGCTCTACATGACCTTGAGCACCCTCCGGTGCAGGAGCAGCAGGGGCAGCAGGAGTTTCTCCTGCTGGGGCCTGAGCCCCGCAGCTCATCTGGTGAGGGCCGAGGGGCTGGTAGGTGAGGACGACGGTCCTCTTGTCGTCACCTGCCGCTTTCCAGGTCCTGAGGCGGAGGAAGAGGCAGTACATGAGCTCCATGATGTTCATCCCCGCTGCCTGTTGCCACTTTCTCACCTCCGCGCCGGAGCAGGTCGGCTTGTTGAGGGCCAGGGCCGCGTGCTGGCGGGCGACGTTGGGGTCGAGGAGCGAGTCGATGAAGCCCAGGAGCGCTTGCTGGCAGAAGTCGAAGTTGAGGGCTGAGATGTGTTGCCTGCCCTCCTCCCGCAGAAGGAAGGACATGGACTCCAGCGCCGGGCGGCTGGCGGAGGGAGCCATGCTGGCGAACTCTTGAAGGAGGGAGAGGATGCTCCTCCAGTCCTCCCTCTGCTTGATGTTGTTCGCGTTGGCTCGGAGGAGCGTGAGGAGGCCGACGGAGATGCGGTCGGCCAGGGACTTGAGGACAGAGGCAGGGAGGGAGGGGATGCACCTGACCCCCTCCATGAGATCGGCGTTGATCGCGTCCACGGGGGCGAGGCGGAGGCAGAGGCGGAGCTGGTTGACGACGATCCGTTCAGAGGACAGGCTCGGGTACTGGATGCTCTGCAGCAGCTGCTGGAAGTGAACATGGAGGGGCTGCCAGATCAGAGAAATCCGCTGCTGGTTGGCTAGCGCGGTATTGGTGAGGAGCTCGAGGAAGAGAATCGAAGTCTCTAGGGATCCGGAGGGATCGTGCGCTTCGCTGCCTCCATCCAGGCTGATGAGCCGGGAGGAGGAGACGATAAGGGCAGAGTTGAGGCTGGCGAGAGCGTCGTTGGAGAGGAACTTGGTGTTCATGAGCAGCTCCTCGAGCTTCAGGCTGGCGACCCAGGCCGTCAGCTCCTCGTAGCCGGGCATGTTGAGGCACGTCGTGAAGGTGTTCTTCTTCTGCTCTACCGCAGCTGGGCCGCTGCCCCACAGGTAGCTGAAGATGGACCGGACGCCTGCCCTGCCTCCTCCTCCCGCCTCTCGGTGGAGGAGGTTGATGGCAACATCGGTGGAGGAGAGCAGGGGGCGGCCCTGGAGGTCCACGAAGTCGTCTCGCTCGAGGAGGGAGGCAGGAAGCGCCTTGATCCTGTGCAACCTCGCCACGTAGTCGAGCAGCGCCCGCCATCCGTCGCGCAAGCAGTCGGCATGGCTGAAGGAGATCGTGAACATCGCCTGCGCCGCCAGCTGTACCTTGTGGTTGCGGACGAAGATCCAGTTGGCCTCCTCCTCGAGGGGCTTCAGGGCGTCGGAGGACTCTGCGAACTTGTAGAGCGACTTGATGAGGGTCGCGATGAGCTTGTTGAACTCATCGTGCAGCCCATGGGAGGAGCAGATCTTGGCGAAGTCGTGGAAGCCCTCGATCGTCTTGCGAAGCACCTTGTCGTCCTCGGTGGTCTCGAAAACAACGGAGAAGGCGGAGATGATGCGGTCCCAGGCGACGAGGAACATGTCTCGTCCATGGATCGATCCCATCGCAGGAGCAGCGACGAACGCGTTGCGATATTTCTGCCCCATAGTGGCGAGCAAGTCGTCCCATCTCGGCTCAGCGTTCGAGTCAGCATTCACATCCGCGAGGTCCTCCGACATCTTGATCTCGCTGGTGGCAATGCTGTCGTAGATGTCAGAGAGGAAAGCGAACGGGAGGTCCTGGTTGTCGTTGATTCCCCGGTTCATCTTCACGAAGTCTTCTTTCGTCATCTTCTTCTTCACCTGGTGGTTGTGCAGGTCCGTGTTGAGCATGATGATGGCGTAGGAGAGGATGTAGGCTGTGTCAGCGTTGGCAAGGGGCCCAGGAGACTGACTGAAGTAATGGCCTGCAAACCTCTCCACGATACGAGCGATCTTCTGTGACTCTCCGGGGAGGCGGAAGGAAGACAAGAAGCGGCGCAGGGCATCTGCAAGGGCGAGGTCGGTGAAGTCGAAGCTATACACGTAGCGCTCCAGCACGTCCAGAGCGAGCTCGTCAGGCTCTCCGAGGTAGCTTCCTATCGCCGTGCGGTCAAGGCCCGGAGTATTGAGGAGGAAGTGGCAGAGGCTTTCAGCGTCAAGGGTGTCAGGGAGGAAGCCTGTGCTTTGCAGGAACTCGAAGCTCTTCTTGGGGTTGCGATTGAACTGCTCGGCTGCCATGGCAAGGCGCTTCTTGTGCTGCTTCTGATGGCGAAGCTTCTCAGCCGTGCTGGGCACAGCGAGCTCCTGGTCGCTGCCTTCGTCAGTCTTCTCATCCTCCTCCTGCTCGTGCATGTTTCCTCCATCGCAAGCCTCGGCCAGCGACCTGACGATCGCCAAGAGGCCCTCGAGGGAGAGCTGATTCAAGGCGTTCAGCGAGCCCGAAAGGGGGAAAGTGTTCTTGGAAAGGTATTTACACATGTCTTCGAACAGGTTTGTGCACTGCACGTCGCAGTCGTAGTTGGTGTAGATGTCGACCATGAGCTGGGGCTCCTTGCAGAACTCCACCAGCGACTCGAGCGCCATCTCCCGCGTCTCGTAGGAGGAGGACTCGGCAAGGTGGATGCTGTTGAAGAACACCTCGAGCTGAACCTTCATGTGCTCCCTCACCGAGTTGAACATGTTGAACACGACGCGCAGCGTGAGCGACAAGATCTGCAGGTTGTTGGTCCTCGAGTTTTGCAGCAAGTTCCTCGAGAGATCATGCTGGATAACTCCAACCAGGGCCGGACAGGCCGACAGTTGCCTCCCTCCCGTCTCAAGTACTACGTTCACCAGCGACAGCCCCAGCATCCTCGTCTGCTCGCTCCCCACGGGGTCTGAGCTATCTCCTGCATGCGTGAGCTGGCACAGGAACTCCAGGATCTTGAACATGCACGGCATGCCATACGGTGGCGCAACGTCAGCAGCCAGCCCCAGGCTCTCCTCATCATCGCCCAGGGACCCGTCGGCCTCCTGGTCATTAGCGGACCCATTCGCATCGTTCTCGCTTCCCAGAGAGCTTCTCAGCGGCCTTGATCCCACCACATCCTGCGACAGCTCCCCCGATGCCTGCAGCTGGCTGAACCGAGCAAACACAGTCAGCACCACCTGCATCAGCATGTGTTCCGCTGTCTTCTGCAGCAGTTCACTCAGTCGCTGCTGCTTGCCGATGTCAAAGCAGCTCTGCACCATGTCCCACACGTTCTGATCGGACAACAAGGTGCCTGCAGGACTTCTCAGACAGTCCAGCAGGACCTGCAAGATGCGGACCAGCACCACTTCGTCTCCGCTGTGGTCCGTCCGCTCGAACCGGCATCTCGTCACTATCCTGCAAATCCGACAAACGCTCTCAGCCGCCCGAGGCGACCCCTTGTGGATGAAGCCGTAGTTCAAGAACTTGCTGAGAGAGGACAGAGCTCCTCCTGTGATCGGGCCAGAAGTCTCTGCAGATTCGATAACGTCCAGGAACGGCCGTAGCCACGCCATAGTGTCCATGTCCTGCAGGTTGGTGTAGGGCCCCAGCTCCTCATGCAGAGCCTTGAGGCCTCTCACCAGCGGCGACTCAGCAGCAGCAGGCACCTCACGGTGAAAACGAGCGCCATGGTTGTAGCGCCTGTTCAGGCGCATGAGCGAAAGAACATTGTGGATTTCCCCTTTCACGATCCGAACACTGTTCTCAATGCAAGATTCCATGATGACAGTTCCGGGATATCGCCTACAGGAGCTCGCTCCATCTGTGCTAGAGGTAACTTGCTTCATTGGCGTGGTGAAGGAGTTCAGAGACTCCTCCGCCTGAGAAGGAATTCCTCCTTCCTTCCCTTTTACCCCCGCCGCCATGCCGCTGACGGTCTCTGGCCGCTCCTGACGGATCTGGTCGATGTTGCAGTCTATCCTCGATGCTTCTGTCGCAGCCTCCGAAGATTTGGGGCTGATCAGATGGTCCTCACTTGGTGTAGATTGCATGCTAGGTCCAACACTTCACGGCCAGCGCCTCCGAAACCCTACCATCCCTCCTACTCAACTCCAAACTCACGAAGTTCCTCCAACCTTTCACAGAGAACTTTATCCCAGCTTCCTCTCTCCGTCTCCTCCTATCCTCCTCTCTCTGTCTCCTCCTTTCTCACTCTTCCCTTCACCTCTCCAACATTCTCCGCCGTCACCCTACTGCCACCATGGACAGCGCAGCGCAGTACTAACTTTCACTCAAGTCGGACCCTCACGCTCTCCCATCCAGGTTTACCAGTAACCTACCATATCTATTTACCTGAAGTTGCAATTATTTGAAGGGGTACTTACATCACCCCACCCCTGTTTGTAGAATTATAATTTTTGCCAACCTTTGTTGGCACTCGGCGGGCCAGCCCTTATAAAAAAGTTCAACCAGGCACCGCCGGGCCTTCGAGCTAAATTTTGACAGTTACAGAGAGGATCTTTGTTGTAACGGTCGGATAATGCCATGCTGGCTTTGTGGTGGCTAGTGGGTGGAGGGCGAGGCGGCGGCGAAGAGGTGCAGGCATCGAGGAGAAGGTGAAGGCAGTCGGGAAGAGGTGGATCAAGTACAAGGAAGTGCCTGGTAGCTGTCAGGACTCGTCGACCCTGGTGAGGAAACTTTCTCCTGCTCGTTGTCACCTTCGTCTCCTTCCCTACACACTCTGCCGTAGCATGTGGAGCTCGCTGCTTCCCTCTTCTCTTCCTTCTGCTGTGCGTGTAAACCCCTTCATTGATTACTTTCATGTCATCTTTGGTATGCAATATCCGTTACTCTCTGGAACCACAGCTCTGTTCATTCCCGAACTCGCTCCCGATTCTGTTTCGTGCATGTCATTGTTTCCACCACAAGCTGCAGGGCACTTACGGCACAACCAGGGCATCGCTTTCCCTTCAGACCTTCCCTGGTCAGAACAGCTGCTGATGCATTGAAGCTTCCTGCTGAAGAAATGGACAAAAGACTCCGAGTCATCGACCCAGAGGAGCGTGTTTGCTGGGACCTTCCGATGCTGTAGAACGTTGAAGCGTTGGTGCCTGGTCCAACCCTCTGCTAGGACCCTGTATTCCTCATGCTCTTCGAGGCGCTCACCAGCCGAGCAGGAGGGAGCCGGTGGTCATCCAACCCTCGTGCTTCCTCCGAGGGCATCGGTGGAATACTCCTCCTTTCCAGTCAGCAGAGCAGCAGGAGGAGCGCCATAGGAGGAGGAGTGCTAGTCGCCTCCAAGGTGCTGCGGGCACTGGCACTTCTTGCTGCCTACCGTGCGCTGGATGGAGGGACAACCACGATCCTCTTTGCTGTTGCCACCCTCGCCTTCGCTTCCCTGGTGCTGCTGCTGCTGCAGCGGCCATGGACGGGCAAGAAGCTCGTGGTGAAGCATGTGGTGAGTGATGATGCTTGATGCCTGCCGCTGTGGTGACCTTGTTCCTCCTTCCTCCTGCCCTCCAGGTCAAGATCGTGGTTCAAAGTACGCTACTGGCCTCCTCCTTCCTCGTGTGGACGCGTGGGCTCTTCCTGTGCGGTCCCGCGACAACAGTTATGCTGGAGTACACGGAGGTGATCCTGCTGAGGTTGGGGAGGAAACTGTCCTCTCGAGCAAGCCGAGGAAGGTCCAAGTGGTGGTCCATCGCTCGCTCCCTTGCCCTCTTCTTCGCTTCCTGCCTCGTGCTGCTGTGGGAGAGGAGGCAGAGCTACGCAGCTGACGACGACGTGCCGCTCAAGCATGCGGTGAGGGGCAACAGGACGAGCTTCATCAGTCCTCCTCATGGTTACGACAAGGAGCATCATGGGACGAGAAGCCTCAGCTCGCATGCGAAAGAGCACAAGCGCCACAAGTTCTCTCTCTCCTCTGTCCTTGCCCACGAGCTGGAAGTCTCCGGGCTCGACTCGACCATAAACTTCGGAGAAGAGCAAGAAAAGCCCAGCGAGCTGGAAGATGCAAGGTTGTCGGAGCCTGCCACGGAGGATGAGGACAACATCAGCATCGATATCGACTTTGACGATGATTCGACACTCCCCTTCCAGTTCGCGGCGAGGTCACTCTCTGAGTTTGCAACGGGTATCGGCATGCACGTGCTTGCAGCGGCTCTGTCTGCTCTGAGGAAAGGGCAGCTGCACAGTGCATCGAAGGACCTCGGAGGTCCGAAGCGTCTGTTCGCACTCGCTTGTCCTCTCTCGGCCATCCTGTTGCTCCTCGTCAGCTTCTACTCGAAGTTGTTCCTCACTTTCGGCATCCGATCGCTGCAGGCTGATCAGAGCCTCTTCCTTACTGTCAGGATTCACTGGAGAGAACTTCTGCAGTTCTCTTGTATGGGCCTGCTCGTCCCCTTCTACGCAGGAAATTTTGCGGACAAGCATCTGCCTGGCAGCGACTGCGCGCGCATCGGACTTCTGTCTTCCGTCGCCTCTTTTCTTTTCACCTGGGCAGTTCGCATGTCGCCCGTCGAGCTCTCGTCTGGGGTTGTTGCTCTCACCGTCTTGTTCCTCATCCTCTCCATCGGCGATGACGTCGGTGACGACTCTGTTCCCCTGGGGGTCTATAGTGTCCCCGGCTTTGCTAGCAGTGGCATGGCGTGGTCAGTGATCAAAAAATACTTCCGCCATCTCTTGTCAGACCGCGCCACCAGCTTTCTTGCTGTGCTGCTGAGCCTGGAAATAATACTCCTCGTCCTTGCCCTGCTCTACGGGATAACGTCATCGGAGTACCTCGCCATCGCTCCCGCTATTTCCTTATTCTTTCGCTGTACCATCATCTCCATCGGTAATTGCCCTTGTACCAGTGTTTTTCCTCCTTCTGCACCCTCGCTATCAACTACGGGTTTTGTTCTCCCTTTCCTCTTCCCCTCTTCTCGATCCCTTGATTTCTCCTCCACTCCCGGTCCCTGGCTTCCTCCTCCTTCCGCCGCCCCTCATTCCCGCCTAACCTCTTGGCCCACAGGACTCTTCGCGTCTTTCATGTCAACCTGCCGCCCTAGCTCCGCCTACTGCTATGGTCGTCTTAGAATTTCTCTTCCCCCTGCTCTCTCTGACCATCTCGAAGGCAATGGGAGGTATGAAGTCGTCGCAGCATTTTCCAACTCCATCTTCCTCCTCATGCGGGTCAGCCTCTTCTAGGATCACACCGCTGCCTTATCTTCCTCTTACAGGGCTGCCGCCTCGCCTTCTGCTTTGTTCGTCAGATCCTCCGTCGAGCTCCTCATAGTGTCGCACTCCACCTCTCCTATGGCAGAGCGATCCCTCTGGTATTGCCCTTTTACCACCTCCCCTCCTCCCTCCTGCTCGCCTATCCCTCCTCTCTTCACTGCTTTCCTACCTCCCTTGCCTCCCTTCCTCCCCACTTCCTCTTTTCGAAGTCCCTCACTGTCGCTCAGGTCCTCGAGCTCCTCATCAACCTCTTTGGTGTTTTCAACCTGTACAAGCTTGTCAACGACTCGGTTAGTCCAACCTCTCTCACACCTCTACCTCCACTCCCTTCGTAGCCTTCAACGACGTACCGTCCTCTCTCCTTCCTCCTTCCTCCTCCCTCCCAACTCCTTTTCTTCTCTTCCTCGCTTCCATGTCGCACTCCATACAACCACGTCATCATGCCTTTCTTCTTTAACCCTGTGTCTTCCTCCAAATGACAGTGGACGTTGTGCAGGACAACTTCATAAGCGCTCGAATCATAACAGGGAAGGGACCTAGAGGACTGAGAGGAGCGCGACCGGAGGTTTCCTCCGTCCTTTTGCTCCCAGTTGCGAGTTCTGATGTGGTGTAGGATGAGGCGAAGGCAAAGAGAGCGTCGGTTTTGATGGAACTTTCATCGCAAAGCAGCACACAGGCCTCGGTGACTCGACTGTAAGTAGAGTCTGATCCCTCTAGAGTTGGAGTTGAGAGCACGAGAAGTTGAGAGGGAGTGATGGAAGCGCGAGAGAAGGGGAGTAGGGAGAGGGAAACAGAGGAGGAACAGTGGACTTGGGACTCTGAGGCCAAGGCAGTAATGGCTTGTAACAGTTGGATGGCTATCGCCTCTTTCTTTCGCAAGTATCTGCTCCTCTCTGACAACCCTTTCCAAAACAGCAATCTGCAGGTGCCTCCCATTGACTCCCCTCCCCGGCCATCCATACTTTCCCCTCTCGATCTCCTCGTTTTGTTTCTACTCCCCTCCCCTCGCCTTCACATGCCCTTCGAACTTTGTCCTTCATGCTAGAGAGCTGATTCATTTCCAGGCGCTCTATCTCCACGTCCTCACGGACTGTCTTGAGCATGCTGCTGCCCTTCTGTGTGTCTACTCGCCCTACAACAAGATGAAGCTCGTCGGATGCTACCCCGTGCTCCAGCTCCTCGTCGGTACGAGCAGCAGCATCTGTTCTCCTCCTCCTCAATCACCTTGTCTCTGCTCCTCCAGGTTGCATGACGATCGTCGCTTCCGTCCACATCCTCTTGGTCACCGCCCGGATCCTCCTCCAAGTTTTCCCTCCTGAGTTTCAGTCTGCCCTCCCCTACATCAACCGCCGGGTCCTGGGCCTCCCTAACGTCACTTCATGCAACTCGCTGCACATCTGGCGGTAAGCCCTCCCTCGTCCTCCGCCCTCAGCTTCATGCCTGTCACTCCCTCAGCCTGTCACTCCCTCCTCCGAGGATCTGAGACTCCCTGCTGGCAGACTTTCGTCCCAGGTGCTGGTGGGAAGCGTTCACGTTCTTGCCTGCCACAATCCCGATGGGGTGTGGGAAGGTGAAAGCATCGTCAGCGCGACCACTGCCATTCTCCGCGAGTACGGCATCACCTACTGCTGCGTGCAGGTGAGACGAGGAGGCAAGGAAGGAGGCAGGGAGGAGGGGAAGGAGGAGGGGAGGACGAGGACGAGGAAGGGGACTTTGTGACGAGCTCGCTCGCAGGTTCAGAGGGATGTGATGCAATTCAGCCCTGCTCGCCCCCGAGCCGAAAGAGTCTTTGAGCAGATTGCCTCAGACGAGAGGAGGGGACTACTGGGTCTAGGGCTCTCGGAGAACGGAGGTGCTGTTGCAGGAGGCATGGAGGACAGGAGGGAGGACTCAAGCCAACCGCATCTTCAGTGACAGTATAGGAGGTGAGAGCGTAAGGAACACTGTTGCTCGGATATAGCCAGCGTTAACCCTAGTTCTTGTTATCCTTAGAAGAAAGCTCCTCTATTCTCTTCCTCAGTCGAAGGTTCTCGGCCTCCTTCTCCTTCACCTGGAGGAGGAGCTCGTCTATGTGGCTCTGAAGCTTCTCCTCCACCTGCCTGATCTCCTCCTCGAAGTTCTCGCTGATACCCGACATGCGCTGGATGGTCCCCAAGTGTTTGGTGCAGTGATGGCGCGAGATGGCGAGGTCAAGTTTGAGTTCATTGTTGGCTGCCTTGAGGCTTTCTATCTCTTTGCTGAACTCTTCACGCACTTTCCGCTCTGTCTGCGCAGCAATCTCTTTGTTCGCCCTCTTGACCTTGACCATCTCCTGCTCGAGCTCCATCACGCGAAGTTGCATCTGGTCCCAGCCTTCCTGTTCCCTTGCGAGCAGTGGGCCCTCCGCTGATTTCCGCCGCAATGCTCTGGACGGAGAAGACAGTGGTGAAGGAGAGGGCGATCGAGAAGGCAAAGACGATGAAGATGACGACGAGGATGGGGAGGGAGATTGAGCAGTGGCTAGCACTACCATCGCTATGACCATGAAGCATCGGACTACTCGCCGACATGAACTCACCTGATAGATGATCCCCTCCATGACAACTTGTTCTTCTGTGTCTTCTCAGATGTCAGTTGCTTCTGCCCCCTCCTCTTCCTCCGCTCTCCCCCGGTCGTCGCATCATAGGGTGGCAGAGAGAACTAATCTAATCAAAACTAATCGGGTTTAGGACTTCGAAAACTAATCCAAGTCTAGAACAAACTTGACTTGCAGTGAGGGCCCGGGCTCGGCAGTCTCGGGTCCGAGGATGCCGGCCGGCCCGGACAGTCACTGAGTGCTGTGCCTGATAAGTCTTTTGAATACATTTGAAATTTTTCATAGTATAATTTCAAGAATTACGTTCACGAAGATTGAAACGCATCGGTACTAAGATTTAACAAATACACGTACTGATTTTTAAATTTGTCATACAAATTAAAAACACCCGGCCGCCTCAGCCCCCGAAAAACACAACGGTTGATGACTCGTGAGGTCTGCAAGCATCGTTCCAGTACCCCTATTTCTGACCGGAGGGAAGGGGGTAAAGCGAAGGGCAGGAAGCAAGGTGGAAAGGTCACAACGAGTGTGTACGGTGAGCTAGAGGACACTTCGCAAGAAGGGTAGGGTAGTTTTCTGAACCTTTTAAACTGGTGGGTACTTTTATAGTTGATGCAGAGACAAAACTAGGGGTGTCAAAAAGCATCTGAATTCAGATGGTAGGGTATCCTTGTGTGATAGTGGGTGGGGGTTATATTGATCTCCATGGATCTCGCTGAGGCCGGGTTAGAGATACGACCCCATTGAAACCTGTAACCCACCTACCCCTCCACCCAAAGTACTCTTCTCCCTTCCCGCTAAAAGATACATTGTTTAATAATGATACATGAAGATTTGAAAATATTTAAACAAAATTGAGCAATATTCTCAAATCTCAGCCATTGCCAACCCCGTGGCTGTCTTTCAAAAATGCCCCCATGTCCATCTCCTTTATGCATGCACCTCCCTAGGTCCTTTCATTCACCCAAGATTCTAGTTCCTGTACCCCCTCATCCTACTCTTTTCACCCTACCCTGAAGACCCACCCACCCACGTCATGCTGAACAAAATCACCCCACCTCCTTCAACTCACGCTGGTGACTCTCTGCGTCCCATCCTCTCGTATGGACACAACCATAGGCCACGATCGTCTCTTTCACCCATGATCTGCAAGATAACCCCACCCATTTCCATCTTAACCCTTGAATTTAGCTTTCAAATCCCGTTCGAATGTGCTATCTTGAGTACCCCCACCTACTTTATTCACTATGCGTTTTTCGACAAGTCAACAGTCTCCAAAAAAGATTGAACAAGTAGAGTATTAAACATAAAAGAACATTTATTTGTAAAAGTCTTATTTTTACTGTAAATTCTGTTTTAAATAACCCGGGTGCACCCCCCATCCCTCCACTACCCCTACCATCCAAGTAAGAAGTCTACCCTATCTGTGTCTTGGCAGGCTACTGTTCACCCAGACATTTCCATAATTCTTCACTAGAATAAGGGGGTATGCTCAGGACCCATTTGGAGGCCACCCCCCTTTTTCAGTTGCCGACCGTAGTACTATGAATCAGTGCGTTGTAATAATAGATATATGTTGTAAAACTATTTTCAAACCTGATCCACTACCCCCCTGGAGAGGGTATTTTCAGGTGGGTAATCTGTCCCCACATGCCGTAATATTCCCTGGTATTCTAGACCCTCGCTTCAACAAAATCCACCCCTCCTATATCATTATGGAGGGTCATATCGATTATAGTACCCCCTTTTTCATCAATAAAGTACCCGGTTTGATCACTGTAAATAGCTGATTAGTGGGGTGGGAGAATTGTTTGGGTGGGTTGTGCTACCCCACAGTACACATAACTACCCCCCCTGTAAAGAGAAGAAAGACCCCCTTCCACCCGGATCCAATGCTTCGCCCTTGTTTTCGAGACGCTCCACCAGCCGTCCTTGAAGCTTCTATGCTCTACCTTCACTCTCCTTGGCAGACGACTTGAACGACTATGTTGCTCACTTCTTTCCTCCTGTCTGTCTGCTCATTCCAGCCAGCATCATTGCTTGTGTGTTCTTGTCGCAATCTACACGCTTCCTCGTAAAACCTCCGAATCAGTGTTCATCACCTCGCACCCCCATATTGAGCCCTCAACATAGATCAAATCTCGTCCCTCTCACCATAGCAAATCGCCCTGGTTGATGTGATTGAGTATCTGGCTCCTCCTTGCTACATTTGCTTCATGTCGTGAACGCTTTTCTGGCTTGCTTTTCTTTCGTCCGATCCCTGCCTCTGAACCCGGTTATTCGTTGCTCTCCTCCCTCGTGCTTCCTATTTCTTGCCCTCGGTTACTATTCGTGTGCTCGTCAACTGTTGATCATCCCGATTTGAATTGTTTCTCCGGTTTACTTAGCTAGAGCAAAGAAAGGGGTTGGTTTCTGTGAGCCAGCAGTGTTGTTAGTTCTCAATGATGATTGAAGACGCAAGATGTCAATCGTTTCTAAATATCATTGCTCAAATACTGATTCATGGTTTCGACAGGTCAAAAGAGGATTGTGGTGGCTTACAGGGATTTGGACGGAGAAGAGCCTGTAATGGAGAGACTGTGATCAATTCAATGGCAAGCATCGATTACATGCGATTGCAGTGCGCCAAGAGCGAAGTCAATCACTTTCCCATGGGATCGAATTTCCAAAGTTGTGCTATGCAGAGTTTTGTGCAGGATGTATGGGGTCAACAACAACACCTCAATGTAAAATCTTATGCAAGCAATAGCCCTTCCAAGACCTCAGAAGATTCCCATGATGTGGCAACAAAACGCGGCGCAGTAACTGGCCAGATGCTCAGGGAAAATTTTCATCTGCCTTTGCACACAGTCGCCAAGAAATTTGGCATGTGCACAACTGCATTCAAGAAGCTCTGTCGAAGACTTGACATCCCTAAATGGCCTCATCGACAGGTATGGTTTCGCCATGTGTGACGAACTCAGCTAACATTTGTCTCAGCTCCGTGGCATAGACAAGAAGATTGCTGCATTGAAAACAGAGCTCACATACTCATCGGCGGCTGAAAAGAATCAGTACCTTGCCGGACTCTCTTCACTGGAAGTGCAGAAGGCACGATTGGCCCAAGGAGCTTTCCAGGCTGGTGGCAACGATGTTGAGAGTGATGACTCGGAATCGCCATCCCAGAACTCAGGCATTGAGATCAACGCTACCCCACCACCTCACGACAACCGTAGGGAGGTTGAAGCTGAGAGCGGATCGGACGAGGCGTCTTCCCCCGACGACGATGACAGAAAGAATCCTGCTGATTCTGAAGGTCTTTTCGTCGGCAACGTTCTTACTCTGAGAGAGCTACGAGAGAATTTTCACTTGCCTCTGAGAACAGTGGCAAAGAAGTTTGGCATGTGCACCACTGCGTTCAAGAAGTTATGTAGAAGGTACGCGATCGCCAAATGGCCACATCGTCAACTTCGAGGAATCGACAAGAAAATCGCAGCACTCAAAGCAGAAATGAATTATTCGAGCATTGATAAGAGCTCTGCAAAAGTCAATCTTCAGAAGTTGGAAGAAGCAAAGGCGAAACTTGCATTTTCATCTGGAAGAGATTGCTCGAGCAAAAGAAATGAAGGGGATCACTCGCCATCGGTAGAACCACAAGTTGCCAACTCTGCGAGTGGTAATGGAATGCAAGTATCAGCTCTGGTCCTTGATGAGAGGAAGGAGAACTTGATTGTCTCGGAGGATTCTTCGACCAAGAGAGTCGGAATTCAAAACCTTCTCTGCGACGACGACGAGGCCGATGACGACGAAGCAGACAACACCAGCGACAATGCAAACAACAACGAAGGGAGTCCTGCGAACAGCGACAAGATTGCGCCCAATGTAGTCCTGACAGAAGACATCCTTCGGCAGCACTTCCACCTCCCATTGCAAGTAGTGGCGAAGAAGTTTGGGATGTGCACAACGGCGTTCAAGAAGCTCTGCAGAAGATTTTCTATTGCAAAATGGCCGCACAGGCAACTTCGGGGAATTGACAAGCGTATTGCGGCATTGAAGGCAGAGCTGAACTATTGCACGCTAGACAAGGACAGCGCCATGAGGAACCTCTCCCTGCTGGAGGAGGAGAAGGCGAGATTATCTCGAGTAGCTCTTGGGTGGCAAGCGTCTTCCGCCACCAAGTGCAAGACTGCAGCCAACGAAGCAGAAACAAACAGTGCTAGTGCGAAGGACGTGGTGAAGTGGCCGATTCTTCCTTCTCCCTCTGCCTTGGACCTGCTTGCCACAGTTGCCGGAGTTGGGAATGATTCAAAAGACAAGACTAGACACATGGAAGGAGCAGAAGTACGGGGAGGTGGCCTGGATTTCTCTGCTTCCCGTATGGACCTGAAGTCCTTCAGCCGAGGAGCAACTTTTCTGTCGACAAGCTCCTTTGAGACACCCCCTCTCCTGCCGATGTCGCCCTCCCTCTCACACGGCGACATGACGCCTCTGCTGACCCCGCAGCTTCTTGCCCTGGGATTCCAAGCTTCACATCCTCTGGCTAAGCCGTTGGCTGATCTCTCGTTCCCAGGAGCAAGGGATTCAAGCTTGCGACTTATTCCCACCTCCTTGCCCTGGTTGTCACACGGGCGATGAGGCCAACAGTCTTTTGTATTATTTCTTAAATCAAACATGCTCAACGATCTCCCTTATGTTTCTCCATCCACTGGCCCTGCTACCTCGCCGAGTCTTCTTCACTTTCCCCTCACGGTGGCTTGTTGCCATAGTTTCCATACCCTGGCGGCACTCCCGGAGGTCTTCCTGCCTGCGGGCTTTGTCCTGGTCCGCTCGCGGGTCCCGGGGGCAAGGGGACTACGCGCTGGCCGGGCATCATGGGAGGCTGAGACGGCTGGGAGGGAGGCATACCATACCGAGCTTGTTGCGCCATGGGCTGAAGGGGATACGAGTCAAGTGGCAAACAAGGAGAGGAGTAGAGGAAAGTCGGACAAGTGGAGAGGAGAAGTTATACAAGAGGAGAGGAGGAGAGGAGGAGGAAAGGAGAAGAGGTCCGTAGGAGGAGCTCACCGGGAAAGTCTGAGGATACTGTTGTTGAGAGTACATAGGAGGCGGAGGAGCATTCATGCTGCGATAAGCCTGTTGAAGGTAAGGAGCCTGCTGAGCAGGGTCATGAGCCTCAGCGCCGCGGACAGGACGAGATCTACCATGGCTGGTACCCGCGGCGGGTACGCCTGAGGCGGATAAGCTGCTGGGACTACACCAGGAGGCATGGGACGAGGAGGATAAGTCGCGTACTGGGGTTGATTCCCGTAGTTGTATGGGGAGCCAGGGACAGGGCCAGGTCTTCGGATCTGCATGAGGACAAGGAGGGAATAGTTGGGGGGGGCAGGACACGGGCAGGTGAGAAATGGGGGATGGTGAGGAGGAGGAAGAGGAGGGGGAGAAACGCAGGCTCGAGCATCAGCTCCTTGAGGATCGTACAAAGGGCTCACCTGGTATCCTGGTTGAGCATAGTAGGGCTGGTTACTGCCCGAGTATGCTCCAGGCACTGGGGAAGCAGACTGCTGTGACGGGAAGCCTGCTCCCGGTGCTCCTGCTCCCCCAAGCGGATAGTTGGGCGCGTTTGAACCGAGGACTTCCGCCTAGTGATGTCGAGGTCGTCAGTCCATGAAGGAGCTGAGAGGGAGGAGGACGGGGAAGGGACGAGATACGAGGTACCTGATACTCCGTCCCGATCGCCGAGACCGCCTCAGGCTCTTCGAAGCTATCCGACAGGTACTTGGTGACGGGGTAGTACCCATCCACCTGCTTGCTCTTGAGTGCTGCAGAGGGAGGGAGGCAGAGGAAGTGCCCACATGCACATCCGGGTCGGTGTCCAAGAGGGGGGTGTAGTCTAGATCGGGGAGGTTTGCTTCCACCAGCTGATCGATGTACGAGGAGCTCTCTTCCTCCCTTCACCGTGGCAGTCAAGCGGCGGAGGATGAGGAGCGCAGTAGGCGCACCTCTGGTCCTGCTGCATTCCCTCTTCCTGGGCCTTGTCTGCTTCCCCTTCCTCCGAGCCCTGCCTTCAGCCATCATCACATCCATCTGGACAAGGTCTGTTCAGGACCTCTTCAGATGCCTTAGAAGCCTGCTGTTGGAGCAGAATCGCACAGAAAACAAAGTTTAGAACGAGGGGCCAGAGGTCAAAAGAGCGCTTCTCACCTCTCCTTTGCTGATCTCCAAGCTTGAAGATTCTTCCTTCTGCTGCTCGGAAGCTCAGGAGAGGAAAGGAGGAGTTGCACCAGACTTACATTGGCCTTACGACTCTGAAACAATCTCTTGGAGAATGACGTCATCTCCTGGAGAGCTTCAGGGTCTACATGCCCAAGTTTCGTTCGATTGGCGGCATCAAGGTCGATAGGACCGGCTGCATCCAGTTCCCTCCTTCGAGGTAAATTCCGCATCCTCTGACTCAACTCGTTCTCCATCTTCTCTTCCTCATTCATCTCCTCGTCGTCATCGTCGTCATCTATCTCTTCCTCCGAAGCTTGTACGTCACTAATGTTATGAAAAATGTATGTCACTAATGGTATGAAAAAATCAAATTAAACAAGTACTCGGAGTCTTCCAAGTATTTCTCGAGATGTAGAGGGATCTGGCGTTTTCGTAAGACACGAAAGGAGGGAGGAGGGAGGAGGGAGGAGGGAGGAGGGAGGAGGGAGGAGGGAGGAGGGAGGAGGGAGGAGGGAGGAGGGAGGGATGCTGATGCGGAGAGAGGGGCACAGACGCTGGAATTGAGGGACAGGGGAGGCATCGCAAGCAGCACGGTGAGAGTTGAGACGTGAAGGGATCTGTTCAGGACCTCTCGGACGACACTATCGAAATCCGGAATCAGCTCGCTCATCGCCTGTTGGGGTTGGGGGACGAGGGGAGTCAGGTGTAGCACAAGGGGCAGCCGATGGTCACGTGCAGGATGTCGATATCCATGAGGGTGAAATTCAAGCTACGAAACAACTGAGAGGCAAGCACGAAGCACGTCAGCAGGTCTGTCGTCCTACTTCACCCCACCTCCCCCACCGCCCCTCCTTCTCCCTCTGCCGCCTCCACCACCACAACCACCCCCACAGAGGCTCGGGCCCCTCCATCCGTACCTTCTTCACGCTCTGCCGCCTGTACTTTGGATCCATCTCGGCCTGACAGTAGGAAAACTCAGACACTGGCAGAAAGCGCATGAGGAGAGGGGAACTTCTCCTTCCACCTTCACACTTCCTCATTCCGAAGTTCCTCCTCCTCTTACTGCCTTTTCCATTTACCTACCTCCTCCTGCTCATCTCTGCCGATCTTCCTCTTCATCTCAACCGCTCCCCCTCCTCCTCTTGACTCGTCCTCTCACCTTCTCCTCCTCCTCTGCTTCCAGTCGGAGGTACGCCCAGTCCGTGATGCTGTCGACCAGCTGGTAGGTGAAGACATCCGCGAGGAACCCCGCAAACTTGAGCGTGTACCGATCAGCACAGCGGCATCCATAGCGGCGCAGGACTTCCTTGACGAACCTGACGGACAGGATGTTTTTGTATGGCCCCATGGAGTGAAACAAATGCATCCACTCGTCGCTCTCCCTGACGAAGCTCCGCAGCGGCTCGTCCTCCTGGGTCACTGGCACGTAGTAGGGGTTCTGCTCCCTCGTGCAGTTGGTCAGGTTGTATTGCACGTCCGACGAGTCTGCGCTGGAGGACAGCTCCATCCTCCTCTTCGCCTTCAGGCTTGTCCTCCTGAAGTAGTCTGCTGTGGTGAAGGACAAGTTTGCGTTCTCTGGGTCCTCGCTGTCGGAGAGCACAAGCCCCTGGCCCGAGATCGTGACGGTTAGCCACAACAGTGTCAACACGACCAGTCCTCGTGCAGGAGTCATCGTCTTCAACGTCTAGCAAGCTCAGGGCGAGGGAATCGCACGCGTCCCATCACTGACGTACACGGGATGCAAGAACGCGTCGAAGCAACTTGCCATCGAGAGCAGGATGCAGCTGGTGGGACAAAAGAACTCAAGGAGAGAGGGAGGGCGAGAGGCGAGAAGAGGGTGAAGAGGAGGAGGAGGCGAAGCACGCCAGCTCCCAACGACTAGCGGAGAAAACCATCACCCGCCGCATCGCTCGATGAACCACATCCCCGCTCAGACTCCATGTCGGTGCCCCATCCCCACATCCCCGCTCATTTCGGTGACCCTACCCCCCAGGCTACCCTCGGGCTAGCCAACATTTGACTTTGAGGGTCGAATTGGTGGCCAGAGGGTCCTCTTCAGGCCAATGCCAGCTCCTCCTAGGGTGGGGTGGTATTTTGACCATTCACAGACCCCTCCTCTTTCCTCGATCCATGGACGGGTACACGGGAAAATGTACCAATTGCAGGGGTCAGGTTTCCACTGCCCCTGCCAGGCCAAGGGGGTCCGAATAGTCGGATTTTATGATTGGGGGTGGGGTCATTTGTTCAGAGGTAAGGGTGGTCATGTACCCCTACCTACTTCATTACAGGAAAAATCAGGGATGAAAGGGAGTTGTAGGTACCTACCCCATCTCTCAGGTTCCAGTATGGTAAATGTCAACCCTCCCCACATCCCTACCCCTCCCTAGCATCTCGTAAACTACCCACCCTCCCAAGACTTTAGCTAATAAAACCCTTTGACCGAGCGTACCACCCCTCCCTCTATTTCATTAAACCCCTGGGTCTTCTAACCCACCCCCTCAGGTTTACATTCTGAAGGTACCAATTGCTCCCATTGCCGAAACTACCCAGGCAGAGACTACCCCCACCACACATCATGGAAGCATAACCCCATCAAATACAGATAAATAACCGGGTGTACAAAAAGAAATTTATCTACCTACCCTATTATTTAACAGCAAGATTCCGAGTAGACCCCTACCACTTTTTCGCACCCCCCATATTCCAACTTTGACTACCCACATGCACCTGATGCTCGACCCCTACATCTAACGACCCCATCACTGTATTAAGTAAACTTCCTCCTTCCTCCCCGTCTGGCACTACCCCTACCCCTACCCCTACCCAATCAACTCCGATCACATTCCATCACTACACCCGTCGTTTGTAGGGTGTCTACCCACCCATCCTCGATCATCTCCACCCCTACCCCCACGAATCCGATTTCCTTGGAGATCCGCCAGCGCCATGGCAGATTTCAGCGCTGTCGCACTCACTCACACTCGTATGCCGACATCGCATGCACATCTGAGCGCTTATCAATCCTCCACATCCTCTGAAATGTCTCATGCTGCTGCAGTCCTGTTAGGTTTCAATACCATGTCACCTTATGACATGGTTTTTTGAGTTGCCCTTTGGCTGACCAGTGGTGCGGGTGATGAATGTTGTTGTGGATTATGGTGTCGGGCCGCCTCTTGCTGCGTTTCATTCGAAAATTCATGTCCTGAGAGATACTTTTCTCTAGTCTTGTATGGATCGAAGGCCCTGTGAACAAGTAGCAAGAACTGAACGCAAGCGCCATTTTTACCGTGTATTGAAGCTTGTATAGCTAGTATTGCTGGGGCTCGCTCCAATCGTTTGTTTGTTGATGTATTATGCCACTCCGGACATATTCTAACGATTCATGATGAACCGTGATGACCATCCCATTCTTGAACTCATTCTTTTTTTGAGACTCAAAGTGCAACTTCTTCGCATAGTCTGACGGTCACTTTGTTTTGCTACGCAGAGTCAGATGCTCGTATGCCAGTGAGGACATACAGCCAGCTCTCTTCTGGGGATTATACCTGGAAGTTTGTCCATGCTTAGTCCCCAGGTAGAAAGAGCAGTCGCAGATACTGAAGACATCATCCGAAGGTCAGTCCGACGGCTGGACGAGTGGGGGATGGTGAATTTCTTAGCAGGTTTGACCAGGCTATCTTAGAGGCTGATGAGTCTTCAGAGGCATCTACAGCCATACAGACATCGTCAAGGTGATCTCACGTGCCCATGCATGTTGCTGTTGAGGTCGCCTGACCCCTTCCTGCACAGCAAGGTGTGCACCAAGAGCCCTGGTGACGTTCCTCTCGACACAGACGACCTAATCAAGAAATTTGATGCTGCCATTGCTGAGACACTTGCTGATCTAGAAACATCTTTTGATAACTCGGAGACCGCTGGAGTGGCGTCCTTGAAGAAGATCCCAGCAGCGCCTGGGGAGGAGGGTTCACTTTTTCAGCACGGGTCCAACAGTAACAACAGATCTACTCGTTCACAAGCGCAAGGCACGAACATGAATGTACCCACCTCACGCACAGCACCGGATGTAAGTGATGCTGAAATACGTAACCTGCCAGAAGCTCCGAGCGATGTAGAGATCAAAATGGCCATGTCCACTCCACCGGCCCTTGAGACAGTGGCATCGGCAGACTTGGAAGCTGCTGTTCCTACCGAAAATGCCAAAAGAAACAGCATTAACTCGCAGACCATGAAGGCCAATTCTCTGGCTTCCATGGCTCCTATACATGAAGGCGAGATACTAGATGACAATGCTGAAGCCATGTCGCCTTTCGATACACAAAAGCTGTCAGAAATACGTACAGAATTTTCAGGTACAACTCCCTTGAAGAGGGTGGGAACGTGGATCGAAAAGCATAGAACCGGAAAAAAAGGGAGATCGACAATGGGAAATATTGTCACGAAAGAGAGCCAGAGTTGGAATTTCGTATCTGCTCTGACGTCTGGTATCAAGAGTACTATTCGCCGCGAAACAATGGATGGACATCAATGTGGCGATGATTTGCATCCGATCGACTTTCATGAGTGCTTCAAGAGCTCGACGGTGACTCCCGAGAAGGGACTGTACAAATTCAAAGATTATGCGCCCAAGGTGTTTCGGAATCTGAGATACTTCTTTGGAGTGGACGATAAAGCATATCTCCAATCAATAGGGCAAGACGGATTGCATGAAATCAGTACTGCAGAGACTGGAAGCAAGAGCGGCCAAAAGTTTTTGATATCAGCCGATGGTCGCTACTTCATGAAGACCATCACAAAGAGCGAGTGCAAATTCTTCAGAAAGGTGTCGTGATGTCCCTTCTTTGCTTGGAAGAAGTGAATTTTTTCGTAACAAATTGACAGATTTTACCTCAATACTATAATCATATGAAGGTACATCAATTTTATTACTTGATGTATCTCAACAAGTTACAATGTCTCGCAGAATAGCCGAAATACACTTCTATGTCGTTTCTTCGGGTTGCATCGAATCAAAGTGAGACAACAAACCTTTTTCTTCTTTTTGATTTGATAGAATATGTGGTCAGCCGGGCAAATTGCACCTACTGGTCATGTGCAATATCTTTGATACTGAACGGGTAGTACATGATCGATATGATCTCAAGGTCCTTGCTGGGTCTTTTTGGCGATCCGAGGTTTTTGATCCTCGTTTCGAACCAGGGATCAACGGTAGGTAGGCAAGTGTCAGAGGCCGAGAAGAAGAATCCCACGGTCATTCTAAAGGACTTGGACTTCATCAAAGCAAATGGTTCTCTCGAGGTGGAAGCGAGGAGATGTTCACGTCTCACCCTGTGCTTCACCAGGGAAAATTGTGGTCGGGGCGGACAGAAGGCAACAGATGATGACTCAGGTTGGCGACAGTGGGACTCGAAGTCTCGTGACGTACATCTCCAGGTCCAGGCCGACTGCAACTTCTTGCAATCCATAGGCGTGATGGATTACTCGCTCCTCCTCGGTGAGGCTCGTTGCTGTCTTGATGAATTCTCTGAAAGACGGCACAGGTATACATTGGCGCGAGAAGGCGGTGGACACGAAAGAGGTCTGCAGAACTCTCCTCTTTGGAAGAGCTCCTCTTTCTTTTTGCTGAGGCTTCTTGTAAGGGGGGAAGTGATCATCGAGCCTCGCCGAAGTTTAGAACGGTCTGTCGTCACAAGCAGTTTGGCCTTGTTGCTCACAATCGCACTATTCCAGACCGATCTGCTGCGTCGTACTGGCTCGCTGCTTCAGGTGAGGATGGGTTGGCGGGGGTTGCAAGAGTAATGCTGGTGCAGGTCAAGCGGGAGAAAACTCATACTTCTATATTCCAAGAGGTTTTGAGAGCTCAACTCCTCCCTTCCACTCATTTTAAAGTCGCTTATTGCAGGATGATGGTGGATGGTGCTCCTTTCAAACCAACAAGGATGGACCAGTGTCCGGCAACCAGGCAAAATTCCATTCCCTGCAATCCCCACTTTCATTTTCATTTCCTCAGTCACTTGATTGTAGAGCCCTTAACTTTCTCAACCTACCTCCCTCCTCCCACCTTGAGTTCTAACAACATGTTCTCAGATCTATTTCATGGGAATTATCGACTATCTGCAGGTGAAATGCAATTGACTCAATCGCACATATGCTGATCATTGTCAAAACGCAGTATTACAACTCCCGGAAGCGAGCAGAGACTTTCGTCAAGTCGTTTCAGTACAACTACAAAGAGATTTCAGCTGTTGGGCCACAGGTGAGGCAGCATGTGCTGCTTGAGATCAGTTAAAGATTCTCGCGCAGCTTTATGCTTCTCGATTTTGCGATTTCATTTCAAGCATTGTCGAATGACGATGGCGGTTTGATCTCAGATCGTCGCATTTGTACATACGCGAGCTCGGGGTTTCGCGTTGAATCCCTTCGTTTGATTTCTTAGCATGGCCAGCCCCGAGTAACTTATCACACTAAATGACGAACTTGGCATGTCCAAGCTGCGACAGGAAGAGCTAAGAGTTTATTCACGAAATTGACGTGCAGTCGACGAGATTGTTAGGCTTACAGATGGAAGGCAGCAATGAGTTGCTGCCAACCGCGAAATTAAGAGGGCGTGTGGGAATGGGGTTGAGGTTCTCTACATCATCCAGCCTTTTGATCCCCTGCTGGCAAGCTGCGGTGAACAAGAAAATCTCAGAAACTGGCAAGACTCAGCTTCCTACTTGCCTTCAGTTTCACATCATCACTGTCCTCTCCTGCCTTGAAGACGTTGGACTCTGGTTTCGCTCCAAGGTTCCTCCATTGAATCCTGTCTTCGGGGTGTGCCTTTTGAACAGACGCTGCTTTCCTCTTGACACGAGCAGCAGCTTTCTCCTTCTTCTGTTCCAGACCCTCTAGCCGCAAGGTGTACAACTCTCGCTCTTCCTCCTTCATCGCTTCTCTCCCTAATTCCTGCTTTCGCTCTGCCAGTGACTCTGCGCCCTTGTTGTGAAAGTGCGAGTATGAAGCTGCAGGAAAGGATTCAAATTGTGTGCAAATCAAGTCTTTCTCATCATTCGGTGTGGCGGAAAAGTAGTTGGGTGTATTTCATCATTGCAGAGGTTTTGATAGCAGACCCCAAACGTGAGCGTGCTACAGAGAATGTACAACGACGCAGAACTCAAAAACAAGCGTGGAAACATAGGAGGGCGAGGGAGGCAAGGGGGGGAGGTGAGTTACGACTAAGTGGGCAGCAGAGAAAAGGGAGGAGGGGGCATGAAGCTACTCTGATGTCATAACAATGTGGGGAGTAAGGCTATAGCAACATAGAATAACTACACAGAGCTACAATGTAAAGAAGAAGAAAGACACTTGCAGGACCAACACGAACAGACATCAAGCAGGCACAGCAAAATAAACCCCATCCTCTTGTTCACCTATTGCTAACATGATCGTCATCATCGCCATCGTCGCTGCCCCCGCTACCGCCCTTGACCCTGCCATGGTAGTATTTCCGGCTGTGTAACCGACTTCGAATGACGGTTACTTTGAATTGTTTGTGAGTATCCGTCCCAAGTATCCGCAAGTATCCGTGAAGATCCGATAGCCAACTTTACAATGACAGCCCTTGAACATGGACCCCCTAAAATGGCTGAAATCACCCCCACCTTTTTCCTGTACATAATATGACCTCGCTGGATCCGACGGATCGTCAGATGGAACGCGGGTGGGTCATTGTCGTTTGTGGAACGGGGTGGGGGTACCGCCCGTTAGCAACGGTTGAGAACTCAGTGGGGTGGTATTTAAAACTCAGAGTGATACCATTCAATTTTATCTTACTACTGAATTTTCAACTTCGGTACAACTTGTGTAGCAGAGGTGCAGGGATATGTCATAAATGAGGTACGGATTAGGCACCAAAATTCTATATTAATCTTTAGCTTATTCAATTTAATAATAAATATAAGCTGGAGTTTATAGCAGAACTGGACAAGTATGTACCTATTTTGTAAGAAAAGACAAACATATAAAGTTGTAGGGGCAAAAGGTCCCCTAACATTCACCCCTACCCCAATCCTCCGACTGAAAACGAGATACACTTTTAAACGTAGGGGGTGGTATAATTCTGTGGGGGAGGGGTGAAACAAAGGGGTAGGTACCAGACAGCGTGAGATGAAAATTGGAGGGTTCCAAGGTTAAAAATTACGGAGGATGGAGGATATAAATGGAGTCATGAGTCGAAGGGGGTGGGTGGCATAGAAATAGAGGGTGGTAGTCGGGGTAGGGTTTCCTGGGAGGGTCCTTCGATTTGAATTTCTGATTAAATATTATTTTAAGAACTGATTTTGATGTAGGTGGGGTGGGTGTGGTACCAGGGGTCCCATAGATTGGGTTAGGGGCAAGGGGTGTTGGATAGGGTAGTTAATAAAAATCGAAGGAGAAAAAGTCAAGTTATTGCGGCAAGGGAGGGGTACTGGTGCTGTGTGGGCTTTTCGTTGAAATGGGTGGGTATAATGGGGGAGGGTGACAAAAATGGAATCGAAGGGGTGCAATTCCGGTGCAAGAAGGGGGTGGTCAATGAAAGAAAGGAACAGATAGGGGTGGGGTGTGAAGTTTCTTGTTGAAGGAGGGGGGTGGGGTGCTACTTGGGACGAGCGGTTTGATAATGCAGCAGTGGCAGCGGATTGTCGACTAGGAGAGGAGAAAGGGAGATGTATCGTTGTGAGGAAGGCGAAATGTCATGTTACAACAGATCAAGATAAAAGATGAGAGATGTGAGGAAAAATATATCATGTGGCTGAGTAGGATTTGGTTGGGGTGGGAAGTTGAAGTCGGTTGCGATTTTCCTTGACTCTGGCTTTGGAGGCGATGGTATAGTTTGAAGCTCAGAGATTAAGTATGCGTGATAGAATTTCCACTTCAATATGATAAAATTTGCACTTCAATATTTGTCTCTGTATCTTGATCATGATGAAGGTAGAACAGTGATGGTGTGATTTGGTGTCGAGACTGAAACTTTCTACTTCCGATTGCTGTTCGTCTGAATGTTTGATTTCAGAAAATTTATTTCAAGAATTTCCAACGCAAAGCCTCTCAGATTGGCCTACGCAAACCATTTTGTATTTGGACAGGTAGCCGCAAACAAGCTTCAAACACCATATGCGGTCAATTGCCTCTACTGGTTTGTAGGTGGTTCAAAGCAGTCGTTGATTTCATATGTTACGCAGCTTGCATACTGCCTGACTTGTCAAAATTTTGCTTGGCAGTTCTTCGTGGCTATAGGTCCCCAAACCCTCGAGCTCATCCCACGTACTGGTACGTCCGGTCCTGGTTCTTGTACATGGTGGGTTCAACAAAAGTCTCGCCAACACAGGACATGGAAAATGCTCATTGCAAGTCTTACAGCAACGCGCCCAGTGACAATACAACGCAGAAGTCAACCTCAAACAAGGTTGTAACATCTAAATACACATTCTATTCTTTCTTACCACGAAACCTCTATGAGCAATTTTCGAGGTTGGCTAACGTGTACTTTTTACTGATATCTTGCTTGCAACTTTTCACATCCTTATCACCTACTAGCAAATGGTCCACAGGAGGACCTTTCATACTCATTTTAGTGCTCAACATGATTCGCGAGATTTGGGAAGACAGCAAACGTCACAAGGCAGATGAAGAAGTGAACAACCGTCTTGTTGAGGTTATCAGGGAAAACGGAAGCACAGAATCGATTCCTTGGAAATCTGTCACTCTTGGAGATATTGTATGGGTAAAATGCAATCATGAATTTCCAGCAGACGTCGTTTTGCTTTCGTCTACTGGTGATCAAGGCATGTGTTACATTGACACATGCAATCTGGATGGTGAAACAAATTTGAAGATTCGAAATTCTCTAGCGTTTACAGCAAGCCTAAATGATCCTTTGAAAATCTCACAACTGAAGGGTTACTTTGAGTATGAGGCACCGAATAATCGTCTCTACACTTTTAATGGAAGGTATGTCCGTCCTGCAGCAGAAGACGTGCCGGTAGACAACGAAAACATTTTGCTTCGTGGTGCAACTCTACGAAATACCCAGTCAATCTTTGGCCAAGTCGTTTACACAGGAGCTCAGAGCAAAATCATGATGAATTCGCAGAAGGGAAGAGTCAAGATCAGTAATATCGAACACACAGTGAATCGCCTGCTTTTGGGAATTCTGTTATTTGAATTGATTGTTGTTTCTGCCGCTACGATTGGAATGGCTTCATGGGTTTCATCAAACCGAGAAGCTTGGTATCTTCCATATGTGAAAACTCAGACAACGGCAAATAACTTTGAAGGTGATCTATTCGCGTTTCATCTTGACTTTCGTTGATTATTGCCTTCAGGTTGGATAACATTCCTCCTCCTCATGAATAATTACGTTCCCATCTCCTTGTATATCAGCATGGAGCTTGCGAAGACAGTGCAAGGCCAGCAAATGAACTGGGATATTGAGATGTACCATGAGGAGACTGACACTCCGGCACTGACACGTACGACGAATCTGAACGAGGAACTGGGACAGATACAATATATCTTTTCAGACAAAACAGGGACACTTACACAGAACGTGATGGAATTCCGAAAATGCTTCATTAACACCACTAGTTACGGATTTGGGACCACAGAAATTGGAATTGCTGCTGCTGCTCGTGGAACGAACATTCAGGTGGATCAAGATCCAACGGCTACAGAGGCAGAAAGGGACAAGGATCCGAACAAAGCTCAATTTCACAGGGATCCAAAGATAGCTTTTGACGATATCAGACTGTTACAGAGACATCGTGAGGGAGGCAGCGAAGGTGAATTTATTAATGACTTCATGAGAGTACTCTCAGTTTGCCATACCGTTGTCCCTGAAGGCGATCTTACCGACCCCAGCAAAATTTTGTACCAGGCTGAGTCTCCAGACGAAGGTGCGCTCTCTGGTTTTGCCAAGGCTTTGGGCTGGTTCTTTTGCGGGAGGACTTCGACGCACACAACCGTTGATGTACACGGCAAGAAAGAACAGTTCGAAATCCTGAATGTGAACAAGTTCAACAGTGCAAGGAAGCGAATGAGTGTGGTCTGCCGAACCCCTGAGGGCAAGATAATGCTTTACTGCAAAGGAGCAGATAACGTCATGCTCGAACGCATTGCGCCTAACCAATCACAACGGGCGCCCATGGAATCTGCCTTGACACACTATGCAAATGAAGGGCTCCGTACTTTGGTGTTGGGCAAGAAGGAAATACCAGAAAGTGCTTGGGTAGAATGGAACAAAGTGCACCATGCAGCGTCGACGGCTCTTGTGGACCGTGATGGTGCTCTGGAAAGAGCCGCTGAAGATATTGAGAAAGAAATGATCATAGTGGGAGCTACGGCGATTGAAGACAAGTTGCAAGTTGGTGTGCCAGATGCCATCGCAACACTTGCTCAAGGCGGGATAAAGATTTGGGTATTGACGGGAGACAAACAAGAGACTGCAGAAAACATTGGATTTGCTTGCAGGCTGTTGAGAGATGACATGGAAATCAACTATATCAATGGCTCGTCAGACGATGAAATCAAAAGGCAACTAGACCACATACTTCAGAGGAATGACAGTTATGTTGGCAAAGAGACAGAGCACCTTGCATTGATCGTGGACGGGAAGTCTCTCCTTGTTCTGATGGAGGAGTCAGAGCTGAGCCAAAAATTGCTCACTGTTGCAAAAATGTGCAAAGCTGTGATTGCCTGTCGTGTCAGCCCGAATCAAAAGCGTGAGATCGTGACTTTGGTAAGGCGTGGCGTTCAACCAGAGCCGATGACCTTGTCAATTGGAGATGGTGCCAATGATGTGCCAATGATTATGGAAGCACATGTGGGTGTAGGAATAAGTGGTAACGAGGGATTGCAAGCAGTCAGATCGGCGGATTATGCCATTGCTCAATTCAGATACTTGAAACGATTGATGCTCATTCATGGAAGAAATAATTATCGTAGGGTGGCTGAGGTTGTTCTGTACTCATTCTACAAGAACATGACGCTAGTCACTTCTCTTTTTCTGTATAATATCTACAATGGTTGGTCTGGAACAGCGATCTACGCGAGTATCATTTTGATTTGCTTCAATGTTGCATATACATTTCTACCTATAATCTTTTACGGGTTTCTTGAACGGGATGTCAATGATACAACTGCTCTAAAGAATCCTCAACTCTACATCCCTGGACAGGTTTGCATTTTCCCCGTAGTTTCTTGTGTATTTGACTTGTATTACAGCGCAGGGAGGGCTTCAACGCCACTGTGATGTTAACATGGATGCTGAACGCAATCGTGCATTGTATTTTCGTGTTCTTCCTCCCCACGGCAGCGTTTGCGGCGACCGGGATGGTGGACTTGGGTGTATACGGGACCACTGTCATGCATTCGCTTGTGATTGCTGTGAATTTCCGGCTGTTTCTCGAAGAGAATTATATTTCCTGGATCTCTCATCTTGTCATTTTTGTCAGGTCTAGTCTGTTTGAACTTCATTTTCAAGGCTAACATTGAATGTGCAGTGTTGCGCTTTTTTACTTTGTTGTTGGCGTAGCGTCGAATATGCCGTTGAGCTTAACGCTGTTTGACGTGAATCTCTTTTATGGTATCCTCTTTGTTTGGTTTGTTCGATTTGAATGTTGCCGCTAGGTGTTGGCAAAATGACATTCGAAGAAGTTTTGTTCTACATGGCCACATTGCTCACAATCGTAGTCGCGAACTCGATTGACGTTGCAAGTTTATACATTGTAATTCTTTGTCATCCTCGGTCGTTTGTTCTGACTGTTTCTTGCAGGCTAGGAACTTCTTCCCCACACCGACGCACATCATCCAGGAGCGGGAGCGAGGATACGGACGCAATTTTTACAACACGGGTGATGACTCAGGAATGGAGAACGAGGTAGATGATCGTTAGCCTCACTTGCATGGCTTAAGTCTTGCAATGTTAAGCTGACGAGAGAGTAAGTAGGAAAGGTCCGTGATCTTAGCGAATGCCGGATCTCCCAGGTAGATCATTCTTGGATGAGTCATGCGCTGCTCTTCGGGCCGGCGATGCCTTGAAGGCTCGGAGACTGCAGGATTCAGAACACACTTACTTATGCTGATAAAATGCAAATGATGTTGAATGAAGTAGATAATCAAGTGAACAAGTATCGCGGCTGCGTGTTGACACCGTGCGATGCTCCGGGCCACCCAGGCTCAGCTACCGTATCAGCCGCCGCCGCGGTACGGTAGCCTAGCGGCCCCGGCTAATACGGTACTGTAGCCGCGGCCCGCCGGGGAACCGTGGCAGTGTCACTTCTGAAGTTCCCGTGACCGGCGCCGTCAGTGCAGCCTGGCAGTCGACTCGCCGAACGGTCACAGTGGCCCACTGACGCCGTATCATCCGAAGCGGCGGGGGCCTCACCGTGGCACTGCCCGGTCGGCCCTCACGGTTCCGACCGGCCGCTTCAACGGCCCGGCCAAGTTTGCGGCACTTGATGCCAGTCACTGAGTGCGGCGGCCAGTCACTGAGTGCGGCGGCCCCCGGCGGCCCCGGGCCGCCGCCGCCGGCCGGGCCGCCGCGGGGCCGTACCATACTCAGTGACGGTACTAGGCTACTGAGCCGCTCGGGCCCGGGAACTTGGGCCGCCCACCGACCGTACCGTACGGTACGGACAACCCCCCCGGGGGCCGCGAGCGGAGTGACGGCAGTGAGAGTCCGCCGGGCCGGGCTCACTGATTGCTAAGGTCCTCACATGTCTGGATGCTTGGGGTTCACATCCTAGCATACAGTCTATCTCTCCGAGTCATGTGCCGCTCTCCTCAATTCTGGTTTTTGTGTGCATTAAACTCGGTCTTGAGCAAAAACTGTCTTGTTACAACTAAGGTCGATGTGATATCTGCGTGACTTTGGACTAGTACAGGTCTAACAAACTTGTATTCCGTCACGTAGCCTATGGCATGAAAGCCTAGCAGTCACGCCGGAGTAGCAGGGCGCCGCGGCGGCCGGGACCGTCCGACCGTACTCGCCGGGTGCTCAGTGACTCAGTGAGCACGGCCCGGTCGCGCGGCGGCGGATATACTGGCCCGGCCCGGCGGATACTTTTCCGGATGCTCACGGATACTGAGTTTGGAATGGCTGACGGGCGGCGAAGATGAGGAAGGAGAAAAGGGAAGGGGGAGAAGGGGGGAGTGAGCAAGGAGGAGGGAGACTTGCGGTAAGAAACTGAAGACGGCAGCGCCTGTGTGACTTGCGTTTGCTGTGGTGTGACAGTAGACGAGGAGATTTAGCTGGGGAGGTGGGAACAGTTGCACCGATTTGTGTAGGAAAGGCAGCCAAGAGAGGCGAGGAGGGGTGACGAGCGGCGGGAGAGGAGGAGGAAGAGGAGGAGGAGAGGAACATCAAGGGGACGCCTTGAAGTTTGTATCGGACCAGGACTGCAGCTTGTGTGGGAACTTGAAATTGTAACAAGCAGCCAGACACGTCCTCCTCTTGAAGATGGGCTCCTCTTTGAATGAGAAGAGGGCGCAGGAGGTGGTAGGAAGCATGATGAAAGAGGTCAGAGCAGAAAACTGGATACACAATCTTGGGCTGGACGAGCTCTCTGTGTTCTCGTCGTGTACGTCCAGCCAAGGACCAGACGGTGGGGTGGTGAATATGGGTCAAGGGACAATCGGCATGTCCTCTAATGGGCTGAAGCGAAAGCAAGAAGACCTCGATCCTTCACAGAGGAAGTCTCGACATGCGCAGTATCAAGTTCAGGGCAATAACCCCGACGAGATCGCGATTCAAGGCATACTCCACCTCGACGGCACAAAGCCTGACCGTGCCGCTGACCCCTCGTTGCAACATCTCCCTCAAAGCCCCGAGGCCCAGGATCAAGAGCAGGTGATGCACGAGGATCAGGATTACTCTCAAGAGTTTCCTGCTGCGGCATCTTCGCAACTCGAGTCTCATCCTTCGCCGGGACCGAGGTCAACAGTTTCCCCGTGACTTTGTGATGTGATGGGGTGCGCGCAGGAGAGACAAAGGATTGCGATCTTTCAGCCTCAAGGTCTGTCAGAAGGTAGAGGAGCGTGAGTTGACGACGTACAACGAGGTAAGACTCACTCCCAGCTGTTGTGCTCGGGATGATGACTGCCATTCTAGGTCGCGGACGAGCTTGTGAAAGAGTTCAAGATGGACCAGAGCATCGTCTTCGATGAGAAGAACATAAGGAGAAGAATCTACGATGCTCTCAATGTGCTCATGGCGATGGACATCATCACTCGAGACAGGAAGAACATTCGGTAAGGAAACTCGTGCCGGTGTGTTCCCTTGGGCGTCAGCATGAACGCCCGCCAGGTGGAAAGGATTTCCAGTCACCAACGACGAGACTAGGGACAGCACCATGTCACGCATCACAGCATTGGAAAAGTCGATAAGAAAGAAATCGAGAGAGGTAAAGAGAAGCTAGAAGCGCGAGGGCCCAAGAGTGACTCCTCCCTGCAGATCGAACAGAAAGCCTCGCATTTCATCAGCCTGAAGAACATCGTGAAGCGGAACTCCGAGCAGGGTGCGGCAGAGACGGCAGAGGCAGACAAGTGCAAGCTGCAGATCCCATTCGTTGTCGCGCAGACAAAAGACATTCATGACGTCGAGCTTGAGATTCACACGGACAGGAAGGTTAGCAAGCCTTGTTCCACCTGCGCATTCCCTGGATAGCCCCCGTTCTGACCTGGATCTCTTCTTCAGCGCGCCAGCCTGTACTTCTCCAACAAGTTTGAGTTACACGACGACAAGTCGATCCTGGACTTCATGGAAATGGACAAGGTCTTACTCTCCCTCAATGACTCTGTTGCCCCTCATTCTGTTCGTCCAGGTGGAGGACGAGGAGAGCTTGAGACAAGCGTTCCCAAGTTGTCCGGAGATCTCCCAATTTCTTCTTAAGAGGAGGCCCAGCATTGTTCGCAAGCCCCCGTGATCGCGTTCCTAGAGGGTCCGACAAGTTGAGTGAGTCGGACCTCAATGAGTGACTAGCCACTGTAGTCCCAGTACTACCGTAAGGTTCCACCGTCACGGACGTTATTTGAACGGACTCGAGGCACCGTGGTCGGCAGCAGTGCCCTCGCTGACTCGAACTTGGCCGATCGTGGACCGTACAGGCCCAACCGGCCGCCGCTTCACCGTGGCACCGTGACTCGGCAGGCCCCGGCGGCTCCGCGGCTGGCCAGTGATCGGTGATCCGATCGGATGATTCAGAGTTACGAGTCAAGCCAGTGCCAGTGACCGGGACCTGCGGGCGGGGGCCCCAGTAACAGTAAATTTGCCATTGTTGATGATTGAGTCAGTCATTCCCGGAAGCCTTTGGCGACCGTACGGCACGGTCACCGCCCCTGCCGGACCCCTTGACTCTGTGAAGCCTTTGACTCAGCCCGGCCTGTGAGGTTACCGTACGGTTGATGGAACGTATGCCAGCCGTGCCAGTCAGATAGCGCCGAGTTAACAAAAACTCTCCTGTAAACCAAGACGACTTACCGTCGGCGTTTGCGAGGCGGCCGATGTAGCGTATGGGACGAAGAGGGGGCCTTTCCTAGCCGTCTTGCTAAGGTCCTCTCATGTCTGGATGCTTGGGTTTCACATCATCCTAGCATACAGTCTATCTCTCATGTGCTCCTCAATTCTGGTTTTGTGTGCATTAAACTCCGAGGCTCGGTCTTGAGCAAAAACTGTCTTGTTACAACTAAGGTCGATGTGATGTCTGCGTGACTTTGGACTAGTACAAGTCTTACAAACTTGTATTCCGTCAACGGTACTAGATAGTACCGTACTACGGAGGCCCGGTGATCATGCCGGCGATCGCCGCGGAGTCGGCGATGCCCGGGCGGCCGCGGCCGGGTAACCGTGAGACTCGGAGCCAGTGTCACCCCCGACTAGTCATTCGGCACCTCACAGTCACACGCCGCCCGGGCGGTTTGTAACGACTGGAGCCCTTGGGGGAAAGGAAGAGACATACCGCGAATAGAGCTGATTCGGGGACCCCTCCATTTTCATTGTTGAGATCGAAAAAAAATACAGACACTTTTATGAATAATATCTGATTTTTTACTGGTGAATTTGAACTAGCAATAATTCAGATTTTCTCAATTGAAATCTGTTGTATGGACGTTCGTGAGTGTTCCTAATTCCGTACCCCAGCGACCCCAACAACCAGACACGTGACCCTGATAGATAGAAGCAAGTGCACAAAGGTCCAAGTGTGGGTAGTCAGAGGGGGAAAGGGGGTGGGGGTGGTACTCAAAAGGCATCATGGTCACCCCCACCCACAGGCTATTTATGCTCCCCCACGAGATTGATAAGAGTACCCCTGATTTTGGACCCCTACCCTCCAATTGCCTTCAAATCTCTCTGATCACCCTACCTTTTCCCAATGTTGATTCTCTTTGTAACCGGTATGTACATATACCCTAGGTAATATCCGGATTCAAAGTACCCCAACCCCCCCATTTTTAAGTCCCCCACCACCCACCGGATCCAAATCTGAATCCCCCCGACGGTCCTGCTAGGCCCCTCATATGCACCCCCACCCCTAAGACAGGAGGTATAAAAAGGGTGGTCACGCAGGTTCCCCTATTGGTACCCGAGCATGCACGGGCAGCGCACATGCGGCGAACATGAGGTCGCACATGTACCCTCACACGCGATGGAGGAGATCAGCAGCTCAGACATGTTGATGGATGAGACTGCCGATGTTGTTCCAGATGCAGACATCTCAAGGATGATCCACGAGGTACTTATCCTTCCTGTTTGCTGTTGGTTTCTCTTGTTACATTGGCAAGTTTACTGACTGGTGTCTCAGTTGTCATCTGAGGACGAGCATGAAGTTTCAGCTGCAGCGGAGTTTCTCTTTGAACGAGCTCACACCTCACACATGAAATCCTTTCAAAACAAGGAGCAGATGCGCATGGAGGGAGCCATCCCTTCACTTGTCCAAGTGCTCTCCTGTCCCCTGTCGGAGGCGAGGTACAATGCCTGCAGTGCGTTGAGTGAGCTTGCCTTTCAAAACAAGAGCAACTGTCTGGCGATCTTGAACACTCCTGGTGCTCTTGAAAGTCTCACAAATCTCATGAGCATGCGTGAGGAAGTTCATCAGGACGACGCCTGCCTGGTGATCAACAACTGCGCGGCGTTCTGCTCGGAGTTTTGCCACAGGATCTCCTTGCAGCCTGGTCTGGTGGATTGTCTCAAGAAGTTGGCCACTCATGGATGCTTCAACTCCAGGAACGTGGCTGTGGGCGCTCTCAACTGCCTTTCTCGCTGTGAGAGGGCAAGAGAAGTCCTGCTCAAGCAACGAATTGTGGAGGACGCCTTGATCCCAGTCCTGCAAGAGCAGGGGACAGGGGACAAGTTCGAGGCTCGCCTGTCTCGAGCTGCCATGGCGCTAGCCAACCTTGTTGGTGACGATCCCTCGTGCGTGCTTGGGGAGGAGCAGCATCGCCAAATCCTTGCCAACACAGTCAGGATCCTTGGGTTCGCCTCTCAAGGCAAGAGCTGGGCAGGCATTCACTTTGCTCCCTATGGCGTGCTCTATCCCTTCAGGAAGCTCGCATCCAACCCCTCGATCCATACCCACATTGTGGAGTGCGGTATGGTAGAATCCCTTGCCCGCTGCATCCAGGACCGTCACAAGTTCGAGGAGACAGGTTCGACCTTGGAGCTGGCGTTGAGCGTGACCAAGGGTCTGATGGAATATGCGGAGCATCACTCGCAGCTGCGGCAGGCGGGGATGATCAGGCTGATGAGGCTGATCAAGACAGACATGTGCGTGAATGATGAGTGTAAGGAGATGGCGGGTGAGATCATGGAAAAGCTGCTTGAGGGGCATCTTGCTGTCTGGATGAGCCAGCACCCGAGGCTCGGAGGTCAATCCCCCCTCCACCTCCTTGACGAATTCGTGACGGGTATCATCCTTGATCATGCTTTCGAGCACCACTAGGGAGCTGAGACATGTCTGATTTCTACTCGATTTATCTGTTATTTGACTACCTTATTAAAGACTTTAACTGCACAGGCTGCGTAGAAACTCGTGGCAGCATTTCAGGCGACCGTTCAAGACTTCTTGACACAAGGCTTTAGAGTTCTACGTGACTAGATGTCACAAAAAAAACCGTCAGTGATGGTTTCCAGGCTGAACCACTTATATCGAGTTACGATCATCGGATGGCACTCCTGGCCCGAAAACCGTGATGACTGCCCCGGCGGCCGGGCCTCGTCGCCCGCCGCCGGCGGCCCGGGGCCCCGCCCGCGCGGCCCCCCGGCCCCCCGGCGGTTGAGTCCGATCGGGCGGCGGCCGCGTGCCGGCGGTCGGGGCCATCGGGCGGCGGCCGCGTGCCGGCGGTCGGGGCCCGGTGACCGGTCGGAGTGAGAGTCTCGGCGCCCGCCGCCGGCCGCCCGGCCGGCCGCCCGGGGTCACAATCATTTTAATACTGTTCTGAAACGGGTATGTAACTGTAATGAGAACTCAGAGGCGTGTTAACGTCAATATTCGAATTCGAATTCTCGCGGGAGGTTTAGAGGTTCAAATTTACGGGTGGGCGGGAGAAATTGGGTTGAAAGCTAGTCAAAATTTGAACTTTACCAGAGGAAATTCCAAATAGAAAGCTCAAAAATTCATTGATAACACCAAAAATCCGTCTGGCATTTCAAACTCTCCCCTGGGATCCTGTGCGCACGGCGCGTGAACAGTTCTATTATTGTTTCTGAATTACCCGTCAAAATCAGGCTAAATTTTGAATTATTTCCTGGGTAGGGTATTTAAAAAAAATCAAGTTTTTCCTTTCGTTGATCGTATACCGCGCCAACGGAGCCCGCCCATTCGAAATTTCGTTTCGCGCCTGCTGCGATCCCTGCTATCCACCGCCTCCTACGCCTCCTCCTCCCCTACCTCCGAACCCCTTGCTCTCTCCTCTCTCCTCTCTCTCATTCCCCTTCCTTGACCTTCTGCTAGCCTCCCTCCTTTTGTCCCCCTGCTCCTGCTCCTGCTTCCACTTATTGGCAACCACCGCCTCCGTTTTCGAACGCGAGATTTGAATTCTTGCTTGAGGCCTTGTCCTTGCCTCCAGAGACCTGCGTGCTTTGTCACATTCTCTGTATATTTCCACTCCTCCGGAAACCCTTCCGCCTTCACTGTCATTCGGCTCTTCCCAGTTGCATGGAAAGAGCGCAACTCTAATTTTTTCGACAACCAGTCTTGATGAGCGCGTAAGTTTTCATTTCAGACCTCTGCCTTCTTGACGATGCCCTGCAGAGTTCGTTCCTTTTGTGAAGAGAAGCATTTCCCCCAGAGCAGGATTTCTTCCATGGTCAAGTCAGTGAGCATGGGGTTTGTTCCTGCAAGGCGGTAAGCAGGCTAATGGTCCCTTGAATTTTGATGTGATGTGTTTGCTTTCAGAACTTCCAGACACTATCCGTTCAACAACTTCGATGAATCTTCGTCTGAACCTCTCCGTGAAAACGAGTTCAGGTGTGAATGTGTTCATGATGACTTCGCGTTTCTGAAATTTTGTGCAGCATTGCTGCCAACGATGCCTGGAAAGGGATCGCAATGCTTGCACACTGCGCGCAGACCGTAGAGAACGAATCCTTGTCGAATGCAGACGAAGACTTGAACTCGCGCAGCTTCGATGCAAACTACAGTCGCAAGGACAAGTCTCTCGGCTTACTTTGCGACAAGTTCCTTCAGGAGTATTCTTCAGCTTCTGAGGTACAACCCATGCACTTGCCTGGTCACGCAAACTAATTGAGATGCACAGATTTGTTTGGACGTGGCAGCAAAGAAATTGGGAGTAGAGCGAAGAAGAATCTACGATATTGTTAACGTCCTTGAGAGCGTAGAGGTGGTCTCTAGGAAGGCAAAGAACTGCTACGCATGGTACGGAATTACGAGATTGCCGTACGCACTTCAGCGACAACACGCTATGGGCCCTCCGGACAATGAAAAGAGCGACGACGATGACAATACAGACAACAGCGATCCGGACAATGTAAGGGAAAACTCACAGGGCAGCTCCAATAATAACAATCGCCGGCCCTCGAGAAGGGAGAAGTCACTTGGGGTTCTAAGCCAGAAATTTGTCCGAATTTTCCTGCATGCACACAGGGGGGTCGTTTCGTTGGAATCTGCCGCAAGAAGACTGATGAACAAGGCCTCAATCGATGAGAACAGATTGAAGACCAAGATTCGCAGACTCTACGACATAGCCAATATTCTGTGCAGCCTAAACCTCATCGAGAAGACGCAGATGCCTGATGGAAGCAGGAAGCCGGCTTTCAAGTGGAAATTTCAGTTCAACCAAATCCCAGAGCCTGCACAGATTCTGGTTCCTCAAGCTAACAAGAAGAGGAGCACAATGAGCTCGGAGGCAGAGATTGTTTCAAACAAGAAGGGAAAAGTCAAAGTGGAAGGAATGGAAATATCCGACATTCGGGCAAACATTGGTGAAGGCAGTCTCGATACCAAGAATGACGCGACGAGAGTGCTCGAAGAGAGAACGACATCTTCCGCCTCCATGTCTGACGAGGCAGCTGTGGGTGTTAAGGAGCCTGGAAACCTCTCATCGTCCGCAAGCACCAGGGCGCCTTTGAGCTACAACGAGCTGCAGAAGGAGGTGATGAAGAAGATGTCAAACTCCAACGCCGTGGGCCTCTCGGCGATCATCGACGAGACGTTGGAGAGCATGGGGCTGGCAGGTCTGATCGACTCACCACGGAACATGCAGCAGTGCATGCAAGCTTACTTTGCCAAGATGTCAGGAATGCCCAACTGGACTGCAGATGAAAAGAAGGAGGGGATGGCGGTAGAGAGGGAGGGGCCGAGCACGTTCGAGACTTCGGACAGCTCGGAGAACGATAGCAGGCCGTCTAGGATGTAGAGACCTCCAACGTAGCGCACAACTGTATGCTGTTCGATGATCAGCAATCTAGCTAAAGTAGTGTTTCTATCTTTCATTTATTAGATAAACCTAAATGAAAATCTGCTTCTTCGCTTTCAAAATAGTCGATCTTGGGAGCCGGAGAAGGTATCACTCACTGATTCTGCAGAACCGAACCAGATCAGTGCGCATGCATGCAGGTAAGAACAGGCAGGGATTACAATCACAAAACAAGTTGTACACTCACGGGCGATATGGCCCATCCTCACTCGCCGCAGGTTCTGAATTCTGATTTGCCTTTGCTCCACGGAACAGGAAGAGCAGAGCACACTGCATCAAGCCTAGAACAAGACCGAGCGCATTGGGGATGAGGAGGAAGATATCGTTGATCGCTAGTCCATAAGTCGTCCACATGGTGCAGTTGACGACTTGCATGACGGCAAAGATGGGGTTAATGGATGCAGCGCTGAAGGCCAGACAGTCAGTGCACCGTAGCGAGAGAGTAGAAAGCAGCAGGCGACCTCTTTGTCTGGATGACTTTGGCAGCTGATGAGAGCGGGGAGGCGAACAACGTCAGGCACAAGATATTCGCAGTGATTCCCAGCAGATCGTTGCGATGCTTCACATCCTCGAAGTAGCAAGCAGAATACCCCACTATCAGCCACAGGCTGATCACAGTCCCCATCATGATCTCCAATCTCCTCCTGATGGTATCAGAGGCCGTGAGATAATATCCTGTTAAGACATAGAACATCCCAAGAAGAACTCCAAAGAAATTCCCCGCGAACACGTATGCGTTCTTTGTGGACGCAGCATAGATAATCCAGCCCACGGCATTGCCAAACAACATGACAAAAGGGTCGGGATTCGTTTCTCCAAGAGTCTTGTTCCTTCTGCATTTGAGAATAGCTGGCAGAGGGCCAAATCCCAGGCCTGTGCTAAGGATAACACCTAGAGCAGGTGCAACCACCTCGATGATAATGTTGGCACCCTGCAAACATGATTCGTTACCCATGAGTCGCTCTACCCATCCGCCATCTCCAGAGCAAAGTACCACACGTCATCTCACTAACTCACACAGAGACCATTAATATCGCCCGAAGGCATGAGCAGTTGCAAACAATCCTCTTTTTCGTCCCGCTCTCGATCTTCAGTGTCTCAGTTGCCTTTTCCCAGCTGCGTACTTCGCCACTTCGCCGCTGCGCTCTCCATGCAGTCTTCCCGCTTCACACCCATCTCATCATGTCTATCATCATTCTCTGTTGATGCCTCCTCTAGTGGCTTCTCTCACTCCCTCCTCGCCCGGCCTCCTCCTCCTCCCTTCTTACCTTATCCGCCATTATGCCCTACCGCCCGGTTATGGATTATTATAAATTCATACAAAAATGGTAACTTTATATATAACCATGGTTAGGTAGCAGGCCTAGCTCCGCTAGTGTAAGGTCGCATCCTTCTGAAACCCTACCCCATGATCTGGATGACCCCTGGATGAGAGGTACCATTTGAACCCTACTTTTCTCTATGAAGTACCCACCATGATGTATACCCCTACCCTACCTCCATCAAGTACATCCCTTGTAGAGGCCTCCGGTCGCAAGGATTCGTGTTCTAACGGAATGGTAACGTTTGTGTATTTTGATGGGTGGGGTAGGAGCATTTTGAAGTAAATGGGGGTGGTGTGTCTCCGACACGGGTAGAGGTAATATTTGTGGGAGGGTACTAAGATATTTCCTTCGAGGTTTCTATAAAATATTTAGAGAGGTGGGGTATAGATCATAGGGTAGGGGTGGGGTGGAACACCTTGGTCACTGTAGGTGGTGGAAGGTGGGTCAGGAGGTCAGGGGTGGAAGAGTCGCATGAAAATGCGGGCAGCTTTTGTGCGAATGATTGTGGCAGTTCTTATCGTCATGATGGCAGTCGAAAGCTTTGCTTTGTCATCAGATGATGAGCTTGCTCGTAAAAAAGAGGGAAAGATGCAGAGAAAGGATGCACCTCGTTTTGAGATTGCACGAGACCTCATCACCCTGATTGGAATATACGAGATGATCTCGCTTTCATGGCTGTAAGTCTTTCCTTCACGAACTGTGAACCTTGGTTTCTGATGGTGATGGTGTCAGTGTATCGACTTGGATGGCGGCTTGGATATTTCAGCCCTCCAGACTTGGGCTCGTCCAACCCTTTCTTCAGCTGATAGGAGAACCAATCGAGTCCAGCGATTTCAGATCCACCCAGCCGACGAGATTGGTTGACAGGCTCAGGAGCCACTTCGATAATTTGGAAAACAGAGCTGAACATGCTCTCTCAATCTTTTCTAGATGTCTACCTCTTGATTTGAGGCATCTTGGCACCTCATATGCTGAGGGAGCAATTTTCCGGATTTGTGCCAAGCCCGTTGTGGTAAGTACTTTCTGCCTTCCTTCAAAGTCAGACGACTTTCAAGTGTATGCCGTAAACAAGTGCAACATATCAAGAAAATTGCACATTCCTTCTCTCATCATACTTCTTTCTACTTCATATTTCTATCATATTTCTTTCTATCATACTTCTCTGCGTCCTTGTCACTTTTGTTGAAACAGTTGCCTCTCAAAATATATTTCTCGCTGAAGGCCTTGAGGGAGATGAAAAAGAACAATCAGCCGTCCAAATGAAAATAGCATCTCAAGATCTAATATTGTATATAGTATAGATGAACAATTCGAACTCCTACATCCATCAAGCATTCCTGAAGTTTGTTCTTAAGTAAACTGACTACTTTGTAAGATCTTGACCTGGACGGGCGGGGGGGGGGGAGGGGCTTGTTGTTGAATGGGAAATTTTTTTGTTAAAATGAGTGCAACAGAAATCTGGTTTTGTGAGCAGTGCGATGGATTGCAAGCAGTAGTGCTCGTGATAACTTCCAAATAGTGTGAAAAGATCATTCAAAACAAATATTCATGCAAAAGTATTCCCCCAAAAACAAACCCGAATTTTACAATCCAGCAGTGCTTACGATGATTGGCGCAAGCTGATCGAAGCTGATACCATCTTGCTTGAACTTGACAGAGGCCTCATTAAATTCATTGACTGGAATCTGTACATCGCTCCCCTTCGCGACCCATTTCTTCTCTTCGAGCAGCTGATCAAGCTGAGCACCCTTCAGGTTGATCAAGATTTCGAGCTCATCTCTTGCGATCACTTGATAGGTTGCCTGGCCCCAATGTTAGCATCAATTCTACAAAAGTCCAAAAGTATTCACCGAGATCACTCCAACAATATATTGCCTGATAGCTTCATGGAATCCGGGAATACCATTCGCGACACTCGCATTTTTCTCATCAGCCATGTCAGCCCAGTACTCCTTGAACTGGCAAGTTTCGAGCTTATCAGACAGCTGCTTCAGCACCTCGATCTTCTGTTCCTTGACCGCACCAGGGACCAGATACATGCACAGCATGAAATCAGTTGCTGGCATCTGCATCAGTGCTTTGACAAGAATCTGTAAACCATGCACAAAAGATGAATGTGTCAGTACGCCAGTTGATTGGAGTAGCAGGATTTGCATAAAGATTATTTCTGTTGTGATAAGGATACCTTGCAGACAACTTCTGAGTTCGCGGTTGCAGGATTATACTGATAAAAGCGCAAAAGCGCAAGATTTGCATCCAGATCTGTATAACCTCCTTTAATCTGCAACATTGCGAAGTCAAGAGATGCCTTTGGGTTCAAACGAGCTTTCGGTCCATCCCCATGTGTTCCAACACACCAGTGAAACCGAAATGGCACAAAGACGGGAGAAGTTCACAAGGCGACGGATGGGTGAACAAGAAGAAGATGGCGAGACGTGAAGAACCGACATCTACCTGCTCGTCGACGTATGCTTCAAGCTGTGGTGTGATCGACGGATCAAAGCGCCTCTCGCTCAGCAGCCGCTGGACTTCCTCTTGCATGGCGCGTGCGTGGCTGCTAGCTTACCCCACCCCCGTTGTCCCCTAACAAATCACCGGTACCTTATAGTCCACCCACCCCAGAATAGGAATGCTGAGAGTATCATTCGGAGAGGGTAGAGCTATATGCAGTGAATGGAAGGGGTGGGGTACTTTTTATAGGGTCACTAGAAGGACAACAACTATATGATGGGGGGGTAGAAGATATTCAGGGTGGGGTATGAATGTGGAAGGGTCCGATACACCAAATGTGGTCATGACGCGACGGGAAAAATTGTAACCCGACGACGAGAGAGGAGAGGAGAGGAGAGGAGAGGAGAGGAGAGGAGACGAGAGGAGACGAGACGAGACGAGAGGAGACGAGAGGAGACGAGAGGAGACGAGAGGAGACGAGACGAGACGAGAGGAGACGAGAGGAGACGAGAGGAGACGAGACGAGACGAGACGAGACGAGACGAGACGAGACGAGACGAGACTTGTCGGAGAGGAAAGGAGGAGGGGAAAGAACAAGACCAGGAGTTGCAACTGGGAATCAATTAGACCAGCAAAACATCCAAAGTTTTTGAAAGGAACAAAGAAAATGAAAAGAAACCAAATTGTAAAATGATTACGATAGGAATGAAGAAAGAGAAGGTCAATTTTGCTAGCTGACTAGAATTATGTGGAACACAAACGAAAAGATTAGGAGAAATGATCAAAAATGCGACAAGAAATGATCTTGATTTTTGGTACTGGGTTGATGATGTTGTGAAACGATTGAACCAGTATCTAAGATGTCGGTGTATCGTCTTGATTTTATGCCGAAAACAAGGGTTATGTTACCGTCGTCTTGTTTTGAAAAGATTATCATGTCTTGAAAAAGTTACATCACTAAATTTGGGGATCAGGTTGTTTGGGGTTAGCGTTTGCAGTGAATCTCCTTTACGCTTGGATCTTTTGGCGAGGCTCCATCTTCACCTCTGATTACTGCCTAGTTCTTCCGGTCTGAACGAATATGCTCTCCTCCCTTGTGAAAGAAAATGCTGAAAAGCAAGCGAAAATCAGAGAAATGAATGACAACAATAGAAAGGAGGCACTTGCAGCTACAGAGACTGTCACGAACTTGATGACAGATTCGGTTCAGTCAAGCATGTTGGAAGTCTTTGCAGCTCAGAAGAAGTTGGAGAAGGAGGTGAAAGGATTGCAGAGCAACACCCATCACTTTTCCCGGCAAACTCACCAGTGGTATGATATGATCACGGAATTCAATGGGGGTCTCAAGGTGAGTTTGATTCTCTACTTCCTTGTTCTGGTCCGCAAACCAAGTTATGTCTGACGTCAGTTTGGTTCTAATGTCTCAGGATGTCGGGGACTTTCAGAATTGGGCCAAAACCGTCGAATGGGACATGAAGCACATTGCGAGCGCGCTGGATTATGTCTCAAAAACAGAGAGCTGACAACGGCCCGGGTGACACTTGAGCTGATCGGAGTCCCGGATCCACTGACTTTCAGAGATAATCAAGTTGAGCCGTTGTGCCTGTCACAGTGCGGCCTCCGAGGCTGAGCCTGTATTAAACTGGATGATCACGGGTGACGCCCGGTGCTCAGTGTGACGATCGAGCGACTCTGAATCATTGAATAACACTGCAGTCTGGTCACAGGGCCATCATCGGGCCCGCCGGCGGGGGCGGGCCGCGGCTGGCTCGCTGGCTGGCACGCTGCCTCGCCTCGCCCGGCCTGGCGGCGGGATCCGATCCGATCCCGGCGGTAGGCTCCGACCCAATCACCGGGCCCGGGGTGCCTGCCACCGTCAGGCTGACTCGGCGGGAGTCCGAGCCTCGGAGGGGCCCTCGGTCCTCACTGAGCCCACTAGTAGACCGGCGGTACGGTCAGGCTGAGTAGGGCTGAGTCCGGCGGCGGACCGTGGACTCCCCGGCCGGACTCCTTGCCTTGAACTTCGGAATCCGATGATCCGTCAGTTTCTGAATCGGACTCCTGACTTCGGAAGCCGCAGTGCCCGGCGTTGCGCCGGGCCCGGAACTCCGAGTCGGAGGCGGCGGCTCGGCGGAACTTTCAAGGGCCAGTCCGATCACCGGACCGCGCGGCCGGGCGCCGGGACTCGGACCGTGACCGCTGCCGCCGGGGCCGCCGCAACTTCCCGGTGACCCAGTGAACGCCGTCACGTGACTCCGCCGGCCGGCCGCGGCCGCCGCGACTGCATCATAGTAGCCACGCCGACGGTTAGGCCCCCGACCTGACCCGGGCCGGCCGAAGTTCCAAGCCTCAGTGAAGGCGGCGGGCCGGGCGCCGGCCCCGGAGTGCCAGTGCCAGTTGAGTCCCGGCGCGGCGTGCCCGGGCGCCGGCGCGGCCGCCCGGCCCACGGTCGTACTCCGACACGGTCACAGAGTACCGGGTAGTGAAGACCGTAAAGAAGACCGCGTACTGAAACAATATCCGATGAGCAAAAGGTGGAGGCACATAACCGATCAAACAACTGCCGGAAATACTTCGTGAAACTCAAGGGGTTGTATCAACCTGCTGAATAGGAGGGGTAGTGAGGAGGGGGAGCTCGAGTATAGGTAGGGGTGGGAATATACGGTAGAGATCCGTGAGACTGGAATATCAATGAGGGGGTGGGGTAGGGTATCCCGAAATAGAGCAGAGGTATATAGAGCGAGACCCGAAGCTGACGTACCATCAGAAAGGTGAGCGCCGATGCATGCCTTGTGAGGGAAGGGGGACGGAGAGTGTAAAAGGAGGGCTGTGTACTCTCCTTATGCTCTTAGATGCGGTCTGTATGTTACATGAGCAAGGGACAGAACGCGCAAATAGGAGGAGAGTGAACTGAGCGAGATCTTGGGAAGGGAAAATTTGAGCGCGTGTGCATGAGGGGGTTTACAGCAGATGGATCGAACATATTGAGATCGATCACTGATGTGTGCTTGGCAGATGTTCCAGACCCTCTACGGACAGACCGCTGCTGCTCTCTACGCCAAGGCCGCCGGCCAGAACGCCCAGGCCCGCCAGCTCTACAACGCCTCCGCTGACACCTACTACAAGGCCAACGATGCTGCTGCCTACGACGACTGGGTCCGCGCTCGCAACCACTGGGACTACTTCTACAACCGCTCGTAAATCGTGAATCAATAAAGCAGTTGTATGTGTAAATTTTTCTCGTGTGATGTCGATCTGAGGGTTGAGGGTATGTCAAAGTAAACATGTAGGTTCAACTCTTTGTTACAAGCCACACGGAGACAGTAGAGGCAATGAAAGTATTAACAGCGTATAACCTCAAATGCCCATCATTCCCTGCATAGGAACAGTAGATCCCTGAAAACAAACCGGGGTTAGCGAACTCAAAACGCATCATCGTTGAGTGACTGTCTCTCACCCTTGCGCCAACCCCGAGCTGTTAAAACAACAAGTCAGGTGGAATGAGATCATCAAAGGGATCGTGACCGGGTTCAACGTGTCATTGCCCTTGAGGCGACGAGTGATGGAGTGTCGCTTCAATTGCCGGGCGTTGGAAAGAGCCTGCATTATTACAAACTGAGCTCTGTATGCACAGGTTGCGAGCATCGGCGGTTGACCTGAAGCACTTCCGAACCATAGTTTGCAGCCTGCGAGACATGTCCGGACTGCTCGTCCTTGTTCGCCAATTTGTGATGCTCAAGTAAAACCTGGTTTCAACCATTTGTCAGTTGTCTGCCATGATGCAGATACATGGTGATTAGGCCCAACTCTACGAGGTTATGTCATGAGTCCACTCCCCAGAATGCTCAAACAGATACATTATTCTCGAACCTAAAGAATCCACGTATCGATTCTACCCCGACGACTCTGTGAAGCTGCTACGCCGTAGTAGCAACGAACGAGCATGACAAAAATGAAACTTGAGAGATCAACAGAAAAAGAAGAGAGCATAATGAATAGTCCAAGAATATGACATTATCATGTTTTCTCCTGTTAAAAAACAACACCAAAAATGCGTGAAAACTGGCCCTCATTCAATGTAAACAACTTGGAAGATGACACATGGTGGTTATCATGCAAAGCAACTGCCTTGAAATGTTCCATGCTCGCTATTTATGATCAAAATATTGGATCATCACTGTACATTTCCTGACTGTTTGTGATTCCTCTGTCCTATGGCTACAACATGATCAACATAGTACCCAAATTGTCCCTCTTTCACTGCTACAACGTCAGGTTTCAATATCTCACTCATCTCTACTTCATTGCCTTGCTTTCCCCTTCATATTCAACAGCATGAAAGTGCATTTTCCTCTCGCATTCGCTGTCCTACAGTTGGTCTCCTGGCTACTCAAGAACACAGCCTGCGGCTTTCAAGAATTCACATGCCTCAACTGAGTATCCCACACTGGCACCGTTTTCCAACTCCGAGTGCAATCCCGCAACAGACCTTCAACTCCCATCCCTCAATTCTTTGATCGTCTCGTTAGACCAGCTCGCACTCCCTCCCTTCCTCCCTCCTCCCCTTCGCTCTGCCGCTTACCTCGAACATTCTGGGGCTCCTCTATTTCCGATGCGCCGTTGGAAAAACGTTGCAATACGTTGCATCTCAATTCCGGTCTGCCGGCTTCCGTGCCATAAACCATCATGCGCCCCCTCCTTTGTGGAGCACAGCGTGCTGTCCTCCTCCTCCTCCTCCTCCTCCTGCCTCGCCGTTACCGAGTGGTTCACGGTTTCTCTTCACCTGCTCTGTGCTCTCGTCCGAGCTCTGCGTACATCCACATTCCATTCTGCAAACAGCGCTGCTTCTATTGCGATTTTCCTATCAAAGTATTGGGCCATGGTCTGGCCTCGCCGAGTGTTCAACAGACCATCAGCAAGTATGTCGAGGCTCTCAAGACCGAGATGGATATAACTGAAACAAGAAGCAACGAAGAACCGAAGTTGCTTGAAACAGTATATGTAGGTAAGCAAGGTTTTGTGAGCTTTTGTAGTGTCTGAAAAACAAAGTAACTTCCAGGTGGAGGAACACCCTCTGTTCTTGACCCTGAACATCTGGAGCAGATTTTATCTCGCATTGACAAGAAGTTTGGAATATCCAAGGACGCAGAGATTTCGATCGAGATGGATCCTGGGACTTTTGACAAACAAAAAGCAGCTTCGTTCAAGAAGCTTGGATTCACGCGAGTGAGCATGGGCGTGCAGTCCTTCAACGAGCGAAGTTTAAAAGCTTGTGGAAGAGGACACAGTGTACAAGAAGTATACGATGGAATTTCCTCCCTTAGAGCTGCTGGGTTCCATGATATCAGTATGGATCTGATCTCCGGGTTACCAGGTGAGACCGAGAAGTGTTTCACACATTCTTTGCAAAGTGCGGTCGATCTCAGCCCAACCCATCTCTCGGTTTATGATCTCATCATAGAAGATCACACAGCTTTCGGACGTTGGTTCGATCCGAGCAGCAATGTGAACAAGTCGCCGATGAAATTACCATCCTTGCCGGGAGAAAACTTAGCTGGGGATTTCTACACGTTGTCACACGATTTCTTGACGTCTCGCGGGTATGAGCATTATGAGATCTCCAACTATGCGAAGCTTGACTCTTCTCATCCCATCGATGACGACGATGTTGGCATTGTCTCTCCGTTCCACTCCCGACACAACACAATGTATTGGGATCGCAGACCCTTTTATGGCTTCGGCATGGGCGCCACCTCGTTTACAGGCGGAGTTCGTTTAGCCCGACCAAGAAATCTTGAAGCTTACCTGGATTGGGTTGCGAATGGCATCGACCCGAAGCAACTGACGGGTTGGGAGGAAGAGGACGGGTCGGACTCAACCTGGGACACGCTGGTGGAGACCTTCATGGTTGGGCTGAGAACTCGACGGGGGGTGATGGACAGTTGCTTGCGAAGAGATTTTGGAGACACGCTGGTAGATGAGGCTCTCAAACGGCTTCAGCCCCATGTAAGGAATGGTCTTGTTGAGATAACGGGCAAAGGTAGGATTCGATTGACAGCCCCGAGAGGTTTTCTGTATTCCAACACAGTTCTGGTTTCATTGTTTAAGTAGGTCTGATGCAAACAGATCAGATGCATCTGATGCTGCACGCATCGTATTGCTTTGTGAAGGTGCAGCAAAGCAATCATGTTTGAAATATCAAACCCGTTTCACGGTTCAGAAGGCCACCATGTCCCAATAACCGCGTCTACGAGTTCATGGAACCGCGAAGAATTCTTATCCTTGTTACCAGCCTTTATTGTCATGTTCTGATGATGTCTTAAAAGAGGGCAAGATCGTCGCCCTTGGAAAGGACTTGACTTGAGCCGAAGGTGCGCTGGACCTCAAACATTACACCACTCAGACAAGTGCAGAAGTCCTCTTACCAGCTCACCCTTGCCAACATTGTGCAACACGTTCATGATCTCATCAGACCAAGGTTGACCTGTTGCAGGGATGAATGCTCCAAGGGCGCGTGCAAACACGACTCACAAGGGCCCTTCCGATCTCAGTCTTGGAGTTCTCCATCTTCAGAATCACCGGGCTTTTCGAGCTGAAGTCTCCCTCGATGCTGGCGATGTCGGCGATCTTTTAGTCATAGAAGTGAGATTGAATGAAGATCTCAATCCTTAGGCAGACCTCTAGCTGTGGGCCTTTCTCAGATACAACAGCACCCTTGAACTTCTTCTCGAAAGCAGACTCTCGGATCTGAAACACTGTCAGACCTCATCGCAGGCATGCCTTCCCGATGCTTTACCCTTAAGACTCCCTGGCACAACGCCATGTGCAGCAGCCAGTGCGTGTGTTTCGACGGCCGCTGCCTCGCTGGAAAGAACGTTCCGATGTCATCCCCCGAGAAGACCCTGGACGTTGATTCACTGGCAGGTTCAAGCCTGTAGCTACTGGAACGTTTACCTGGCAATGTTGCGAATGTCATACCCGTTGGCTATACAGCAGTGGACCCCTCCTTGCGTTGCAACTCTGCGGGGTGCGGTCACTTCATCGGAGGTGGGATATTCACAAGTAGCTCACTGGGCTGCGTGTATCTTGGAGCCCATGCCGCCTCTTCCCATCGTGCTCTTAGTTCCAATCTTGACATCCTCGTGATCCCGATAGACCTGTGATCATTCATCCAGTCAGTTCGACCCTCTAGGAATCAATCTGTTTTCCTTGATCCTCTCTGCGCCAGGTTCGGTCGGTGGCTTCGTGAAAACTCCATCTACGTCCGTGAGCATGCATACTCCATCGGCTTCACCCCCTGCTGCGACAAGAGCTGCAAGCCTGCATGCGTCGTCGTCAGACAAGCTCGCAGTTTTCCTCACAACCGCTCACATGTCGTTGTCGGTGAAAACTTGCCCCTTCGTGGCGGGGTCGAGCTGAGAAGCCCCGGTCACGACATCGTTCTCATTGATTACAGGTACGACTCCGAGGGAGCTCAATCGGTCGAGGGTGTTGGCAAGGTTGTTGTACCGATCCAGCATGCCAAAGTCACCTTGAGTGATCAGAACCTGCTCGTGGGTCATGCACGAACGTGCTGGATGCAGAGTAAACCTGCGCACACTTGATGCCCAGCCTGTTGAACATCACATTGTACGTGCTCATGAGGAGCTCCTGGCCTGCAGCAGCACTTGCCTGCCTCTCGACGACGTTGGACGTATTCGAAATCACTTCCTTGGAGAAACCAATCCTTTCCCTGCCCAGTCCCACCGCTCCGCTGCTAATCAGCATCACTTGCTTTCCTTTCTCAATCAGGTCAGCGATCTCCTCGACCAGTCCGCCCATACGAGCGAGGGCAAGAGTTCCATTTGGTCGTGAGACGACTGCAGTGCCAACTTTGATGACAACCCGCTTGCATGACTTGAGCGGCTCTCGTTCATCTCCTCCGCTTCCCATCCATCGGACTTGCTCTCGCTTCACGATTTCACGTCGGAACATACCAGCACTCATCCTGATTCCTTCTTGCCCCTTCGAGAGTGACTGTCTTGTGAAGTGAAGCTCCCTGACTATCATGCATTTCTCCTTCTCTCCTCCTGTTCCTCTTCCCCCCACCATCTTCGCCATCCTCCCTCCACATCTTCCGACTGCCCGCATAAACAGCATGATAGCCTCGCTTCGATTCCCACCCCTATCCTAATGGATACCCAACCCTTATGCAATACCACCCTACGCATACACTACCCCTACCCTTCAATTCACCTTATCATACCCATGAATCATTATTACACCGTTCTACCCCTACCCCATCTGTGGTCGAAAATTGAAAGACCCCACCCCCTGAATTTAGATTACCTCTTCATGACCTACCCTCAAGTGTTGAATCCTCCAGTCCTAGCCCACCCATGGGCACAATTCATTTTTGTCAGAAATTCAAATATTCTCTTTATATTTCAATATTCAATGAGTCTTTGTCCGTTGATAGTCTAAACTTTTCCATGGTGTCATCCCCCACCCCAAGAATTTCCAGTGAAACCACCCCCACGTCTATTTGGCCACACCTCCACCCACCCCTACCCCCTATATTTCAGTCATTTCGGCCTCTTTTGCCCTGCAGGATCGATTCGATTCTTTTGAATTAATTCAATTCAAGCCGGCAGCAAAAACACAGGCCGGCGGAACCGCGCCGCTGTGCTAAAGGGAGTCCCCGATCCGTATGTGGGAAAGAGCGAAGATTTCTTAAATGAAGTACTAATAAAAGGGGGCATGGGAGGAAATGAGGGCATGAAGATCGGAAACAGGAGCAGATACTGATAGGGTGGAAGGAGGAGGAGCTGGGTCAAAGGTAGACGATTTCTCAATTGGGATAATAATAAAAAGAGGGATAGTATGATCAAGTCCACATCGGGACCAAGTCTGGCTGGGTTATTCTGGGGATGGTGGGGGAGAAAGGGCGAGAAGTGTACGAGAAGAGGCAGGGGAGGGGAGCGAGGGGCGACAGCATGGACATGCTGTTGATGATGGGTTTTTGATAGACAGATTTATGCCATGGCGATGTAGGGCGGAGAAGTTTGACTGCGTGCCAGCATAAAGCATGAGTTTGCTCAAGTTTGTACAGCAAAAACAAGAAAGTTGCTGCGTTGCTTTCCTTTGACTCCTCCTGCTCTTCTGCAGAATGTGGGCGGACATCCAACATTATCAACAACTCAGATCTTCTTTCTCCCGAGGTCTCTTCACCTCGCTCGAACTTGTGGTGAGTGCTTCCCCGCCGTACCCCCTCCTCCACAAACTCTGAGAATCGCGCCAGGATCCTCTCGGGAGCTGGAACGAGGGTGCATGGCAGATGACTCCCTTCAATGGGGAAGGAGTGAACGACAATGCTGCCATGAGGGTAGGAACGGATCCAGCGAGCTATCAGACGACTGGAGGATACGCGCTGTACCCCGGAGTCCTTCCCTCCTGTAAGGACGGGCATGAGGCGCCATGCTCGTAAAGCGCTGCGGGAGGCTGTGAGAGCAGAGATCTGATGCTTCCTCGTCTTTGTTAACTCACTCTGCTCTCCCTCCCCTGCCCTTCACGCTCGCTCGTACGCCTTCTCTGAGACTATGTGTGCGAGCCAGCAGGACATGGTGAGCTCCTGTAGTCTTGTAAGTTTGCTCTGTTGCCATGAAACAGAATCAGTTTTGGATGGGTGTCGCTTTCGATATCCTCTGCCAATAACACCGCTAACATCTCCTCCCCCCTCCCCCCTCCCCCCTCCCCTTTCCTCCTCTCTTAGTACACAACCATCTTCTCTCTCTTCTACTCCCCCCCTTCCTCTTCTCCTCCTCTCTTGCCTTCCATCTCTCGTCGATCTCGTGCTTGATCGCCTTCATCGCCAGCATCTGCACGAGCAGGTCAGCGCGTGAGAGCAGGATGGGAAGAGCTCCGCTACCTGCCCACGGAACAGCCGAAGGGTGCTGAGCATGCGATGCCTTGCCTCCAAGGTCGTACGGAGAAGCAGCTCAGCCCGAGCGTACCGCAACTGTCGCATGCTTCAGACTCGCCTCCACCCTCCTCCTGTCCCTCCTCCTCCTGTGATCCATCGTTCTCTCCACTTCCTCCTCCTGTCCAGTCCCTCTGCCCCTCTCGTCTTCCTTATCTTTCCAGAGCACTGACCTGATCTACAACCGCCTCGTGCCTCCACGACCAAACAGTCTGAGCAACGATGAGGGTGAAGGAGGAGAGGTAAGATCATACCCTCGTAGTGAGCCTCCTCTCAAGTGAGAGCTTGTGGCGACCTGCGACGACCGAGTCAACACGGAATTGGGAGGAGGGAGGGCGGCTGGGTACAGGAGATGTCCTGAAGCTGCCGACGATGACGGAGGCAGCAGACGGATCGCGTGAAGAGACTCCATGCTCGGCAGTAGGTGAACCAAACAAGCAACCTGAGGATGAGATAAGGAGTGGAGGAGGAAGAGGAGGGGGGGGGAGAGAATGAGCAGCGGGCGCAGTGGGCGTGAAAGGGAAACGCAGGTATTGGGGTGTAGGGAGCAAGAATGAAGTTAGACAGGGGAGAGAGAAAGTGAAGCAGAGGAGTTATGTAAGGGGACCGTTTGGAGAAAGGAAACTGAAGGGAGGGAGGGAGTCAGTGAGCAGGAGCAACAGGAGCAGGAGCAGGAGCGGGAGCAGGAGCGGGAGCAGGAGCAGGAGCAGCAGGAGCAGGAGCAGGAGCAGGAGCAGGAGCAGGAGCAGGAGCAGGAGCAGGAGCAGGAGCAGCAGCAGGAACGGATCAGCTCAACCTCATCGACTTCCTTACAAGGTCCCTGCGATGTCTGGAGTAGCTCATCCATCGAGACCATCTGGACGAGGATCAAAGAGGAGGAGAGCGAGGAGGTTCCGCCCTGCCCACCACTCACAGGTTCTGCACGAGGCTCCTTCCTCTGGCAGAGTGCGATCGCAGCAGCACCCTCCTCCACCATCTTGTCCGGGTCGACTGCTGCGACCATCGTCTGATAAGAGGAGGAAGACGACGCCCCCTGTTGCTCGGGTGAGGAGGATGGAAAAACAACGCAGGGAGGACCTCCACGATCTGGAGAGGAGGGAAAGTCTCCTGCTTCTCATCATGATCCTTCGCCATCCCTCCATGCTGGTTTGCGCGAGATGGAGGAAGCGAGCGAGAGAGCAAAGTCTCTTCGCCTTCTCTTTCCAACCTTTCCTCCCTGTTGCATCCTTGGAGGACGGAAAGAGTTATGAAGAAGACGACACGAGAGAGGAGGAGGAGGTGGTGGTGGTGGTGGTGGTAGTGGTGGTGGTGGTGGGTAGACAAGGAGAGGTCAGCGGAAAGGGACGGAGAAATGAGGATGGAGAACTTTTGCTTACCTGAAGAACGACAAGGGGAGGAACACTCGGCGCTCTTGATGAGCTCTCGTCTCCTGGACTTCCTGGTGGCGTGTGGCCTTGAGAGGAAGAGGAGGAGGAGGGAGGAGGAGGCGAGGAAGGAGGATCTTGCGCGGAGGAAGGAGAGATTGCGGAGGAGAGAGAAAGCGAGGAGGGTGATAAAGGAGGAAATTGGGACGAGGAGAAGGGAGAGGAGGAGGGGGACAGGGAGAGAGGAGGCTCCCCTCTCGGCGGGTGCATGACTTCGGGGGAAGAGGAGGGGGAGAGGCTGATGAAACAAGGCTTTTCTCCTCCAGGTTTCAGTTCCACATGCTTCCTGCAGGCGGAGAAACCTTTCGTAAAAGTGCAAGGAGGAGCAGATGGAAGAGTTGCAAAGAGTAGATGATACATGGGAGGAGGGAGGAGGGAGGAGGGAGGAGGGAGGAGGGAGGAGGGAGGAGGGAGGAGGGAGGAGGGAGGGATTTGGGTCAATAGGAAGGGAGACGTGGACGGCGCAGAAGTGAGCAGGGGTACCGAGCGAGAGGCGGAAGCTTGGGAGGAAGGCGATAGAGCAGGAGATTTGCCCGCCGCCTCCAACGCTGGAGGACGAGACTCCAAAGACGGAGGGAGTCGAGGAGGAGGAGGAGGAGGAGAGACTGCACGAGGATCAGCCTGCTGATATCGCTCATCTGGCTCACCCTTCTCGTCCTCTCGACCATGGCTAGCAGAGGCTTCGCGCCCTCTGTGTGGTTAAGGAAGGCGAGGAAGGCTGAGGAACAAGAGAGAGGAGATGGGAGAGGTGGACAGCAAAAGTAAAGGAGGGGAGGACGGGCAGAGGGAGAAAAAGAAGGAGAGGGAGGAGAGGGAGGAGGGCGAGGACGAGGACCAAAAGAAGAAGGAGGAGATGGGTAGAACGTTCAGTCAGGAAGGAACAGGAGAGAACAGATGTTGTCTTGACCTTGTTTGGTCAACAGTCTGCTCTCCCTTGTTGCCTCCTGCTCTCACTTCAGCTCGCTCCTCCTCGCTCCTCCTCGATGTCACCTTAAACCGATGGCAGACCAGGTGAAGTTTGAGCCTTGAATGGGAGAAGTCAGTGGGCGAGCGTTAGAGGACGGCAGAAGCTCAGAGGAAGCAAGCAGGGAGGGAGGGAGGGAGGGAGGGGAGGGAGGGAGGGAGGGAGGGACGGGAGGGAGGAGGAGGAGGAGGGAGGAGGAGGAGGAGCGATCCGCCCTGACACACAGAATGACATGCAAGCATGAATGAATGACCGACAAACCGACCAACGCACGACCAGCCGGCCATTCATCTCTCTTTCTCGCTTGC